GCATAATAAGAGCCTCCCTGTCTTAATAAAATTCTGAACTTTGTCTCATACTCTAAGATCAGATCCCTTTAAAACTGATAATAAGTTGCTATTTGTCTGTGCTGACCTAGATTTGTCTCTGGATAGCAATACAATTTTAACTTTATTGGAAAAAAAAAAAATATATATATATATATAAAAAAAAACACTACTAAAAAAAAGTTTTTTGTTTGGACGGATAACAAAACCACGGCACAAATAGCACTTATCAAGAATGTGTACATTGTTGGAGTAAGATTTGTATGAATTAATTCAGTAATAATGGGCTATTTAGGAGTTGATACACCTTCTGTGGGATAGTATTTCAGTGGAAGTTTATGTGCAGATGATGGGACCAGTTCTGGCGAACAGCAAACGCAGTATACTATACAGCACGTAACCTCAATACAATGAAACTAATGTTCACAGTAACAGCACAGAGTGTTATACACAGAATCACTCATTTATACAGATTACATCGCCACGACGAAATAATAATACACAATAGGTAAATTACAGAGAGCAGGCATTACTGTGACAAAATAATGTGGAAAAGCAAGTTGAATCATATAATTACAAAGATTAAATTACATTCAGAATTGTATAACAAAGGCCTGACCTCTGCTACAAAACGTAGGTAGGCATTTCATAGATCACTCAGAGATTGTTGCTGACTTATTGCTAAAATGAAGCATAACAAATGATCATTTATTAAATCAAATCAAATTGTTTGATATTTGATCCATTACAATTAAAGGAATACTACGAGCACCATAACCACTACAACTCATTGTTGTTGTTATAGTGCCAGAGTGCCCTGGCACAATCCTATTGTAAAGATTCAAGCCCTTTTCAAACATTTTGACTTTTTACCTAGGATCTACTGGGCGCGCTCCCCTCCTGCACTACCATTGCTGGAGAGCCAGAAGTTCCTAAATAGTGTGTAGCTCATTGGATGAGAGCAATCATCTATGCCTAAACAGGAACTAACCAAATTACTCAGGCGGCCAGGAGGACTATGGCCTCTAACTAGGTGCGGGGCTCAGTATCACCTATAGATAAATTGACAGCAAACATTCGCTCTATGTTGCCTGCATACAACAAAGTGTTGGCCCCATAAAGAGCTATATAAATTCTATTTAAATGCTTACATTAATAAGGATTTTTTATTTCTTTTTTTGTAAATATCATTTTAGTGAAGAATTTTCAGAAATAGGTACAGGTATAAACATTTAAGGAGGACTCGCAGGTCCCCTACACTCCAGTAGTTTTCACGATAAGCAGTCGTGTTACATAAGTATAGCAATGTACCCAAGCACCACTAGTGTCTCTCGCTTAACAATAATCATTACATAACTGTAATGAGTTTGCCCAACTAGCGTTGTAGTGAGGCGATCTGATGGCGGATGTGTAGCTAATTTCCCAGCTACGTGTATAGTATGGACGGGGAGAGTTGTGTCAGGGCTGATGCAACGTGGGGGACTGAAAAATCAAGCTAATTAAATATCCCTACCAGTCACACCAATGTGTAAAGAATCTAAAAGCTGGACATCCGCCTCGCCTACCACCTCATATTAGGTGCGAAAGGTGTAATTGTATCCGATGTGGGCAGTGTATGTTCACCACGTCAGCCCAATCACGCTTCCTGAGAAACATAAAAACATAGAATGTGACGGCACATAAGAACCATTTGGCCCATCTAGTCTGCCCAATCACAATAGAGGATGTGATTCTATCAGTCTGTTACCATCTTCACCAGGTGGTTTACTGTTTAGCTTTAATAGGTGTAGATAGTATTCTGGGAGGAGGTGTTATGATGGTTTATTAGTATAGTCCTGGAGCAAAGAGAAGGAGTAAAGTAAAAAAGAGAGTGTAAGTAGAAGATTGAGCATGGTAAAGGATAGGAAGAATGGGGTAGTGTGGGAATTTTCTTAGCTCTTTTCTTTTGCATAAGGCCTGTTTCTTTAATCAGAAAAATATATTGCGCTGAATGTATATTGTCAACTCAACGTCGATTTAATGTACTTCTCTACTTGACCAATAAATAAAGGATTTAAAAAAAAAAGATGTGGGGGGGCGGGGCCTGACCGTCGGCGGGATCAGACATGTCCTGTCTGAGCTCATGCTTCAGGGCCGGAAAATCGGCGTTAACCGGAGGCTAAACCCAACCAGCAACACCCACCGACGACCAAATCGACCCCCAGCTGCTGGGGTATCCGGGGTCACCCGCCAAGACCCTGCCTGACACCAGGAACGATCTGACAATGACCCAGAGCATGGATTAGTTTGAGCTGGGACCCTCTGTCCACAACACGCACCACCCTGGCCGAGTTTGAATGAGAGCACATCAATCCACCAAGCAAGGGCTAGCTATACCCACCTCAGCCTTGACAGTGCAGCATGGGTACCAGCGGACCGTTGCACCCTCCTTCCTAAGAAAGCATCCACACCCACATTGCACTGGACTCTCGTACTAACTGAGCACTCTTTGGCACGAAATCACAATGTGCCCAGTGGTCCTTTAGCGGTACCAGCGGATGAAGCGGCAGGCCTACAAGCTAATGTGTTCCAGCACGTATTTCCTAACAGAGCAATTAATCTTGTATTTTGACCACTTTCATTATATGACCAGACCTAGTAGTATAATCTCAAACCAAAATGTTAGAGGCAGCATGTGTAGCCAGTTTCCTTTAATTTGTTAAGCCTGTCTGTTTACTCTTGAATTTCCTTAAAGGAACACTATAGTCACCTAAATTACTTTAGCTAAATAAAGCAGTTTTAGTGTATAGATCATTCCCCTTCAATTTCACTGCTCAATTCACTGTCATTTAGGAGTTAAATCACGTTGTTTCTGTTTATGCAGCCCTAGCCACACCTCCCCTGGCTATGATTGACAGAGCCTGCATGAAAAAAAAAAAATGGTTTCACTTTCAAACAGATGTAATTTACCTTAAATAATTGTATCTCAATCTCTAAATTGAACTTTAATCACATACAGGAGGATCTTGCAGGGTCTAGCAAGCTATTAACATAGCAGGGGATAAGAAAATCTTAATTAAACAGAACTTGCAATAAAGAAAGCCTAAATAGGGCTCTCTTTACAGGAAGTTTTTATGGAAGGCTGTGCAAGTCACATGCAGGGAGGTGTGACTAGGGTTCATAAACAAAGGGATTTAACTCCTAAATGGCAGAGGATTGAGCAGCGAGGCTGCAGGGGCATGTTCTATACACCAAAACTGCTTCATTAAGCTAAAGTTGTTCAGGTGACTATAGTGTCCCTTTAAAAAAAAAAAAAAGTGCAACGCATCTTGAACCTGTTACCAATATGTCACCACTTATCTACAACTGTACTATTTTTGACATTACTAATGTATGTAATCAACAATGCACTTTAAAAAAAAAAAAAAGATGCATATATAATTTCTTCTAGAAGTGAAATCTTGATAGGAGCAGCTGATAGACTGATGATTGACGTGAAGATGGTCAGATGGCTGAGGAATTCAAATAGCAGCATGTGTGCTTAGTATCTGCATATATATCTAATACCTCACATTCCGTGAGCTTTTCAGACCATAATTCACTGATAACTGCAATGGTTCTACAACTGACACATATTAGTATTATTATTTTATTAATAATGCACCAATATATTTCATTATACTGTACAAAATCAAAACGTACACAGAAATCCTGGGAAATAGTTTTTGGTTTTTTTTGCTATACTTGAATAAGATTTCACAAGGGACTATTTGAAATGAATATACAGTTTAAAATGAGTGGATACAATATAACTGTGCAAATGTTTAAGAAAATATACCCTTGAAATTTGTTATTCCTGTGTAACTATCTACATTACAAATTAAAAAGTTAAGTAATATATATTATGTTATTTGTTGTCACCTAAAATTTATCAGAGCAGCCCACCCTGGCCACACCCTGACTCACAGCCCTAAAATGAAAATGTCCCTCTTTGTCCATTAGAAATGTTGGCTGGTATGTAATAGCATTTAGTCGTATTTGGCAGAACTCGGTGCCAAGACCATGACAGTTTTTCTTCAAAACAAACACACACTAATTTTATTTAAAGTGTTCTTACTTAGTGCTCCCATTTTCCTGCCTCCATCTTACTTTATCTCCTGGTAATTTTGCCTGCCTGGCGCTTATCAGTCATTGCATAAGCGCAAAAAAAAATTGTCACAGGCATCTATTAGGCAATCTTCGTAAGTGATGCCTTGGATATGTTAATCTGTGTTTTCCAATATTTTTCAGTTTAAACCCCTACCTCCACCAGTTCCAGTAATGGTGGCTTGTCATATTGTGTTTAATTCGACACTTTTTTGTGCCAAAACTAACTTGTATTGTGACTTTAGCTGCTAAATCTTTAATATATATTTAGAAAAATACACCTCTCAACATTTCATATCGACAAAGAGGGATATTTTAATTTTAGGGGTGTGAGTGGGGGTGTGGCCAGGAGGTGGGTGTCCTGAGATATTTTAGGTGACTTACTAATAATTATTTTTGCAACTAAAATGTAATTTAGAACAAGAACAATGTATCTTACTTACACAGACTGATTTCTAAACACATTTATTGTAGTTTAAATACACATTACTGGGAGTATTATTGATGCAGAGCTCTGTTATACATTAAGACACACCAACAATATGGAGCTCCTAGACATTAGGACAGACAGAAAAGAGGGACAAGGGAATTTGGGCCCAACATAGGGACTGTCCCTCCTAAATATGGACACTTGGGAGCTCTGCAAAAAAAACAACAAATGCATCAAATAAAAAAAAAAAAAAGTTTAATAGGCGATTTTCAATATTTTATTGCCCCCTGCCATGATGCCCGAGCCCCCCAATACCCCCTGCCATGCTCCTTGTGCCCCCCATGCTCCCTGCCATGCTCCTTGTGCCCCCCATACCCCTGCCATGCTCCCTGTGCCCCATGCCCCCTGCCATGCTACCTGTGCCCCCATGCCCCCTGCCACGCTCCCTGTGCCCTGCGCTGTCACTTTAAATCGTGACACATTACATCATGGCTGGCCGCGGTGCATTGTGGGGGAGGAGGGCAGGACGCCATTTTCGCTGGGCAGCAGACAGAGGCGGATACCGGCTACCAACAGCAGGCAGGAGGATGAGCTCCGGAGCTCGGGCTGGCAGCTAGGAAGGCCCCGGCCCTGTGACAGAGAGCGGACTCCACCATCACCGGCCGGCCGACACCGACAGCGGGACCAGCACCGACACCGACCGCAGACACTGACCGCAGAACGGTAATGGGCACCGGGGAGGGAGAGAGGGGACCGAACCGGACTGGGTGTGGGGGGACCGGGGGAGATGGGCAGGATAGAGAGCCCAGGACCACCGCCCCAATACAGGGGACAGGAGGGGAACATGATGCTATGGATGTCATTCAGGGAGCAGACAGGAGATGGAGATGGGATGGGATAGGGCATGGTACCTGGGGAGAGGGGGGGCATGGTACCTGGAGAGAGGGGCATGGCACCTGGGGAGGGAGGGGGGCATGGTGCCTGGGGAGGGAGGGGGGCATGGTACCTGGGAGGAGGGGCATGGTACCTTGGGGAGAGAGGGGGGCAAGGGTACCTGGGGAGAGGGGGGCATGGTACCTGGGGAGAGAGGGGGCATGGGGCTCAGAGAGGGGGGGCATGGTACCTGGGGAGAGAGGGGGGGGGTGCATGGTGCTCTGGGAGAGGGGGGCATGGTACCTGGGAGGGAGGGGGGGTGGTACTCTGGGAGGGAGGGGGGGCATGGTACTGGGAGGGGGGAATGGGAGGGAGGGGGGGGCAAGGGTGCCTTGGGAGGAGGGGGGCATGGTGCCTGGGGAGAGGGGGGGCATGGGTGCCTGGGGAGAGGGGGGGGGTGGTACCTGGGAGGAGGCATGGTACCTGGGGAGAGGGGGGCATGGTGCCTGGGGAGAGGGGGGGGAAGGCCTGGGAGGGGGGGGGTATGGTACTTGGGAGAGGTATATGAGGGGGGGGGCATGGCACATGGAGAGGGGATAGGGCATGGCACATGGAGAGGGGATAGGGCATGGCACATGGAGAGGGGATAGGGCATGGCACATGGAGGGCATCCCTGTACTCCTCACATACAGAGATGGATGATTACTGCATGTGCCATTGCCATTGAATAGCTTGCTAGCTGTGTTCACGCATGATGTTACTGATAATCTGCTAATGGGAGCCTGGGGATGGATAAGGGGGTACCTGGGGCCCCTGTGGGGGCCTGGTGGGTAGATATGGCGAGGGGGGCAGGGAGTTTTATATCAGGGGACCTGATAAGGGGAATCTGATGTTTTCCTATAGACTTTATTCTTCTCTTTTTGTTAATTCACTGATGTTACGGCTGTTCTTCCTCATTTCTGTTGAGTGGGGGTACCTGTGATTAACAGTGACGTTTTATTGTGCTGCAAAGGCTCTCTGTATTGCAGGGGGTTTGCTTTATCACATGGCTGATGGGTTAACCATGTGAGTGCCTAACTAGATTACCTCCAAACAGGGAATGTTTGGTTAACCTTGGTTTAGCTGCAGAACAGCCAGGTGGCTATTCAGTATCATTATGACTTTTTATTTTTTTTATTTTATGTAGTTATTTTGTATTTTAAGCATTATCTATTGGCTGAATAGGGTATACATTTTGTCCTTTATTGCTTCTTGAACATGCTGGGGATGGCTGACATTGCAGGTATAGATGACAATAGCAAATACATTATGTGCAGCTTCTAATGTGAGGTTAGCTCTTTAACCGCCTTGTAAATGGGGAAGAAGAAATAAAGAACAAAACCCAAAATCGATGCACTGCTGCTCAGTCATGTGACCTTCGAAAGGTTGTCTGTGTGGGTGTGCAGTACACACTGCTAGTTATTTGTGTAGTTGTTAATTGAGTAGTATTGATAGGTTTGCAATAACCCAGGGCTAGTAGCAATTGGAATTAAATATCCACAAGCTGTAGGTTATAACATTCATTTGTAAAGGGCTTGACGCTTTAATTTGTCATCAGAAATGTGTGATATTGTGTAGCTTCTATTAATAAATAATACACTGTATAACAGGATATTTGTAATGGTGCAGGGAAGTCACAGCTTAGGCGGTATGGTGCAGTCACTCCGATTGCATTTTGCCATTTGCTCAGGATCAACGTACGTCTTGAAGATTCAGATGTTGCAGTAACATTATGGTGACTGTAATGTTGTGTATGCTTCCAGTTCGTATCTTAGCATTAGTGTTTGTTTCTTGTCATTCCATCTCCTGGGAATATATCTCTGCTTCATTGCAACCTCTCAATTAACCGCACTAACTGAACAATTTAATGGCACAGAGGCCTCAGCAGAGACAGCTATCGCAGGCTTAGACACGTATATTGAAAAGAATGATCTGGAATATTACCCTGCAATGCACTGAAATAATGACATTATTAAAAGGGAGTATTCTTTCATACGGTGTAAAATCTGACTGTCATTAAATGCTACTGACTCACAAATTCCGTCTATAGTACTTTTAGTGGTGCGCAGCAGTATTTTGTTGCGATGGGCTGTGTGCTGAAGGCAATTCTTGCGTTGAGAAATATACTTGTTATCTTAGGGATATTGTGGAATATTGTGTTTTGGACTGAAGAAATGAGTGAACAGTTTTATTTCTGGAGACTAGGCGGAGGCATGGGTGCGTAGGTGCATGACAGAATCTTTAGCAGAGAGGCTGAGCACTGGCACTTAATATCTATTGCAGAGTTTTACTGTACTAGAAAGGATCAGAGCATGTTCCGAATTCTGGGATGTTCCTGACACACCCAGCTAGCGCTGTGATGCATGTGGGTCACTGTCATCTATCTACCTCCTCACACAAAGAGCATGCTATAACAAAGGCAGTCTCCTTAACCCTTCAGAAGAATGATTAAAACCTCTTACTCACACAGTGTGACACTTAATCTGCTTTATATGCAAGTTTTGGGGACGGTTTAAACTGTTTTCATTTTACGCCATATTAAAATTCAGAGGATGCCAAAGCTTTTAGGGCATTTAAATTATGATCTACAGCTGCACTGAAAAATAGTCATTATTTCCTAAGGGTGCTTGTATGATTGACCAATTAAATCTAATTTTCTGCTTCTTGGTTGTCAACAATTGCTTGTTTTTAATTTTTTAGGTTCCAATTTTAAGTATCATGCTTCATGATAGATATCCTTTTGTTTCTTGATCTAGGTTATAAAGCATTATTTATCTTGGCACTTCTAAATGCAGCTCAAATGGTATGACTATGGACTAGAGGTCAGTGGATTTAATAAATTAAAGAACAACCTGATTTTCAGAAAGCAGAGTTTTATGTGAAATGTTCCAAAAGGTGTCCGTTATATTTTGTGACCCTCTGAAACCCTGGGAGGTTTTGTACATGAATATACGTGACACAGTGATTGCGCCGTTTATTTGGCATAATCAATAGAATTTAGAATTTACTAATAATGAGATTTTCTTGGCATTATTGCTGCTGCAATGTAATTCAAGGTTGCTCATTGGGTTATTTTAATGAATATAAGACCATTTTATTAATAGGAATGAAAATACGGTTTTGTGCAGGTCTCATTGAAATTTAGAAGCTTTTATTTTTGTAGATTAAGGACGATCACTAAGTATGTGATATGCTACAAACACCATTCCGGTTTACATTTTAAATTTTTTTTTTTTTTTTTTAAGTAAAATTATCACACATTTTGTAATATTAATTCATGGTTTGTCAAATAAACATTAGATATCTTTGTTACTTATGGATAAAAAAGGAGCCGGTTATTTAAAAAAACAAAACAAAAAATTTTTTAATTTAAAACACGCACACATTAAAAATAAATATTTTTAACCTTCAAGTGTTCTTTTAAGTTTATTGATCAAAATCTTTTGGATTAATTCAGCAAGCAAGAGAGAAAAATCTGATGTTGCAGGTAACTTTTGTCTGTCTTTCAGTTTTCGCTTCTAATGGGATATGCTCATCCATAGTGATCTGTATGGTTGCTTTAATAACTGTATTAAATGATCAATAAAACTGTGTCGTATAACTTTTTTGTATATTCTACAGACCTCTTCAGTTTTCAATACTTCTCTGCAGTACTTCAAACTTCTACAGCAGAGTATGTTTATCAGCTACACAATAAAAAATGCTACCTTTGACGTTGCTCTCCTCAGATTAGGCAAGTAGTTTGAGGAAGAGGATGAGGGCGTAGGTCACTCTGTGTATAATCTCAAGGCTATTCTGGCTTTAGGTTAGTTTTGAAAGTACCATCCTGAGCTATTTAACATTTTAATATACAGTAACTATAAAGTATGGAGGGCATTAGATGAGATGGGACTTTTTAGAATATTGATTCAGACCAGAGGTCAGTTTTATTGATTGTCCTTTTTAAAAAATCACTACAGGATCTCTGTAAATTTTATTAAGTTGAGAAAAAAGGTTAAACAACCCAATGCTTTTTTTTTTTTTTCTTCTTCTTTAAATCTTTCTCTTAAGGAGGTAAGGTAAAGATTGTGTCCCTGTCAAACCTGGACATGTTGAATGTCACACCCAGAGACTTGCATACCTACACACAGGTAATGTGTGATTCTCACGGTGTACCTCCTCGCAAACAGGATTTGTATGGTACAATAAATAACCTTTTATCTAATTTAACACCCTTCATAAGAGTGTAGGAAGATGTGGCATATATTTGAAAAGCTAATTATCAGCCTGCTTGTTTTGTTAATAATAATAATATAATAATAATAATAATAACAATAGATTCAGAGAGTCATAACAGAATAGCAAAGGAATTCATTGCAAAATGTTGCGAATCTTCACAGTGGAAGGGCTACTACAAGCACCATGGCCTTGAAGTGGTCCTAGTTCCTGGAGTTCACTAAAGTAAATTAAATTTTTTAAACCAGAATAGTAAAATTAAAGCATAGTTGAGACAATTTGTTAATTTGACTTTAAACTTCGCTTTGACTTATTAGGTTCTCCTAGGTTCCCCATAACATTGGGCAAGACCTTTCATCAAAATGCAAATATGGTTATTTCCTCTCAGGAAACTACATTTTTATATTTTATTTAGACCAAAATGGAGGCATAGCTGACTAAAATTTGAAAATATACTTTGAATTGCCCACAATTGAGTTTGAGTAAAACTGAGGGTTATATAGCTTCTATTAACACTTCTGTTGTAAAGGGGACACTGTGCAGACCATGGTTAAAGTCACTAGCTGTATGTGACGGATTATTAACACATCTGGGGAAACTTATTAGAGTGTCACCAACACTTTTCCATAAAATATTTGGCGAATTTATGGCATTTCTTTTGTTCAAGTAATAAATCTGTTGTAACTTTTTTTTTTTTCATCGGTTTTCTTTTGCCCCCTTAACCGCCATTTTTGAACATGCGCCATTTTTTACCAAAGCAACTGATTTCTGAATATTTCTCCTCCTGCAAATTGAAAGATTTTTTTTTTTCTTCAGCCACTGTAAGTTTTGGTGGTCTTATGAAATGGAAGTCTTAGTGAAAACTGGCAGAATTTACTATGAAGACCGCTGTCTATTTTTAGATTACTTTAATAAATACAATCAAAGTAATTTAACAGCTACTTTTCAGAAAACATGTTTTAATATTCCCCAAAATAGAGTTGAAAAATCAGACATTTCTCTCAAAATACTTTTTGTAACACAAGTGAGGCACAAACAAGCTTGTACTTATGAACTTAGGATACTTTCTTTTTGCATTTAGTATATATCTGAAAAGTGCTTTTACAAGCTGTCTTCCTCAATTTTGCCAATTCAGGTCTAGGTTTTTAGCTTAATTTCACACAGTGCATCAGGATGCCAGGACATGGGGGATATTGAGAAGCGGAGGATGTTTAGCATGAACTTCTTTAGCACTTACAAAGGTGCACTCCTACGTCTTACCAGTAATAACCTTTTTATTTACTGCCTCATGTGTTGAGTAATTTATCTACCAAGTATTTGCCTGTGGTTGGCATACATGGTTTTTAAAGGACCACTATAGGCACCCAGACCACTTCAGCTTAATGAAGTGGTCTGGGTGCCAGGTCCAGTTAGGTTTAACCCTTTTTGCTGTAAACATAGCAGTTTCAGAGCAACTACTATGTTTACCTATGGGTTAAAATTGACAGCCGCTAGAGGCGCTTCCGCGCTTCTCACTGTGATTTTCACAGTGAGCAGATGCCAGCGTCCATAGGAAAGCATTGAGAATGCTTTCTTATGAGACTGGCTGAATGCGCGCGCGGCTCTTGCCGCGCATGCGCATACAGCCGATGACGGAAGAAGAGGGAGGAGAGTCCCAGCGCCGAGGGAGCCTGCCGCTGGGAGAAAAGGGTAAGGGATTAACCCCTTCCTCCCCCTTCAGCGCCATGGGAGTGGGACCCTGAGGGTGGGTGCACCCTCAGGGCACTATAGTTCCAGGAAAACGAGTATGTTTTCCTGGCACTATAGTGGTCCTTTAAGCACAAAGTACAATAACCACTGTAGCACACTGTCCCAACAATGTTTAAATGGTATGACAATTGCATGGTCCTCTAAGCATCTCAGGTATCACTAGAGCGAAAATCCTTATCGTGCATTAGTGTCCTCAACACAGCCATTCTTTGAATGGAATTCCTTTGCTGAGAACTTTACCTAATACCCTCAGCCAATACATTTGTCCAAAAAATGTTTAAAGGATCAGATTATTGACTTTTGGGGTCTACAACCTTTGCAAGATCTCCCGTCTTTTTTTTTTTTTTCTTTCAGCACAGACTTTCAGGAATACGCCAATAAGATGATTCTCAACTGAGAAACCTCTCTACTGGAGCCTCGGACACATGCAGGCTGCATTCCTATGCTTTTGATGCTATGAGTACCATTAAAGGAATACTATAGGGTCAGGAACACACACATGTATTCCTGACCCTGTAGTGTTAAAACCACCATCTAGCCCCCCCGCCTCCTTAAATATAGCAAAATCTTACTTGTATTCAAGCCTGAAGCTGTAGCTCTGCATGCGGTTTTGTCTCAGAAAAGCAAGCAGTCTGCTGACATCATCAGATATGGTGGCCTGATCCAATCACAATGCTTCACCATAGGATTGGCTGAGACTGACAGAGATGCAGATCAGGGGCAGAGCCAGCATGATTCAAACACAGCCCTGGCCAATCAGCATCTCCTCATAGAGATGAATTGAATCAATGAATCTCTATGAGGAAAGTTCAGTGTCTGCATGCAGAGGGAGGAGATACTGAATGTTGGGATGCATTTTAGGCAGCCATGACCCAGGAAGGATCTCTAACAGCCATCTGAGTGGCCGCCAGTGAAGGTATCACTAGGCTGTAATGTAAACAAAGCCAGTGTTTACAGCAAAAAGCCTGAAGGTAATGATTCTACCCACCAGAACAAATTCAATAAGCTGTAGTTGTTCTGGTGACTATAATGTCTCTTTAAATTGGGTAATAGTAACATCCCCTGGACATACTTGGAAACCATAGTAATTTGTATGTACCTTTGCTGGTTAATTACATTATTATTATTATTATTATTATTATTATTATTATTATTGTGTAGTGTTCCTTTAAATCTATATGCCTTATGTGAAAGTAAGTACTTCCATTTAGCTATATCTAAGGAGCACTGTAGCTGATTTGGGGAGTCTCCAATTTGCTCTTGAACATTTTGTTGGATATAATTCGAGGCATGCCATTTTTTAAAAATATAATTTTCCATCAGAGAGAGAGAGAGAGGGGGGTACACCCAATTAGTTCTGGTCATTTCAATTACTCTCACATTAAATTCTTTAACAATGCCCATTCAGGGAATTTTGAGAACATTCAGAAGCTGAATTCAGTAGGAAGATTATCTTATCTTTATCTGTTCAATAAAGTGGGGTTGTAACTAAAACTAAGATTGCAGAATAATTTCTATTTATGAACCAGTCCTGTCTATAAACATTTCAGGTATTATGCGCATTGATATGACACTTTCACTCATATAAAGGAACTGTCTTAAAAGCATCGTAACTCCTACAGCCCATTGACTAAATCATGGTGCTGGAGTTTGTCTGGAATCTCACTGTGGAAGTGCCTCTAGTGGCTGTCTGGTAGGTAGCCACTAGAGTTCATTTTAACCATTTATTGTGAACATTGCTATATCTACTAAACAGTAATGTTTTATATTAAAGGGTTAAAACAAAAGGACCAATGCACCCAGACCGCTGTATTGAGATGTTGTTCTTTGTGCCATTGATGGTCCTTTAGTACTGAACAGAGACTGCACCAGACTGCTACCACACACCATAACCACTTATATGAGGTGATATGGTTAAAATGCCTAGAGTGTCCCTTTAACAGCACAACTCCTTTTTAAACTGCCAAATAATTCTCAAACTCAAACGTGGCTTAGATACACAATCCTGTAAATAGTACTACATGGTGCAGGTGTCAGATTTGTAACCATCATCACCCTGCCATTTTGTAGACACTGCTCCAGCTCTGCAGTAAGCTTCTTACATGCATGGATGTCCTCCCTTTCCCTCACAGCGTACACCTCTACTGAACACTTAATGCCATTGTGTGAAGGAAAAAGCTGGGGGCATGGATACCTTTCCCTTATTGCCATGGAAACCTATTGCCAAGGTTTTGAGTTACTATGAAGTGCCTTTCATTTGTTAGACATTTTCCTTTTGAATTTGCAATACGAAAACACCATGTGCTATTTAACCTTTACTGGGATAACGTGATCCACCCATCACAGGCCTTCCAGTTATGCAGTGTGTGCAGGGACAAGGCTGCTGGCTCCAGCAGGCTGTAAGCGGTTAATGAACGTGGGTGCCTGTGCTGCTGTGAAAACATTGACAATGGTAATAATGTTTGAAAAAAGCTTGTGTGTATGGGTATAGTATTTATAGAGAGATGTGTTGACCCTTTATCTACAAAAATATCTCTAAATGGGCAAATGGTAAATTTCCCCTCCCCACCGCTGTTGCAGAACTCCCATGTTTCTTTTATAGCTTGCAATATTTTATGGATTTTGTAGTTCTGCAACTGTAGGATTTGCTTCCAAAGCACCCTTGATCTAGACTGCGAGATCTGTTGTGGTTTTTAGCATCATCCAAAGTACTCGGCTGGCTAAGAATCATGGGACTTTTAGTCCAAGAACAACTTACATGGAACAGTTGTCTAATTTCAGAGATGATTTATTGTTATAGTGTAAAGCTCTTGAATCTTCTAGCAGAAGAGATTTCACTGACTAAAACTACCTTTGTTTTTGTTAATATCCTGCGATTGAAAACGAAAATTCTTTTTATCAACAATTTTCACTTCCTTCCCTATTTGGAAGTATCCCCTTGTGACGGGAGGAGATGATTCCGCTGGTGCAATGTATTTTTCTTTCTTTTTAAGGTTATCCGTTTTAAAAAGACAGTATTGCATGTGTTTGAAGGCCCAGCAGTATTCTCGATATGTGACAGCCTTTCTTGCTGTCTATAGCACAGAGCAATATGTCTACAGACAAGATTGCTAGTGCAATATGCAGATTAAACTCGTGTTACAAGCTAGAGGCACACATTTTGAAGGTGACAAGCTGGCTTTACAGACCTGAAGACAATGGTAGGCATCTTGACTCCAGGGACCTTGAAGACTCGACGGCACATACTGCCGCTCATCATACTTACACTACATTAGGATCGGAGATCCTGACAAGTATTCTGCTCTATTATAGTCACAATTTTCAATTTAACTTTAAAACTGTTTAGTGAATAAACCCATAATGATTTGGACTGTGGACAATTTACTAAATAGTTCATCCACTTTTTCATTAATAATTAAAACCCATGGTTAGGATACCAATATGGAATGCTGTGCACTGTACATAAAGGCTGCGTTCTAACAGGAGAAAAACGAGTTTAGCAAGTGTCTTGCGTATGGCAGTCTGAAAACCAAAGATTTGGGGAAGCCACAAAATAGAGCAACCGTGGTTTCTAAAATTCTCTCAGAGAGAGAATCTGTGTTCTTTTCCATCAAAATACTTTAGTTTTTTCCTCCAAATTTATCTATTTTTCCTTCTAAAAACATGCATGACTATATCCATCTCTAATTATGGCATTATAATAAAACAATAAAGGTATGTATGTAATTAAGTCATGCAAATTTTAAAAAAGGAGTAATCACCACCAATATATTGTCTGCTGATTAAAAAATCTGTACATTTTGATAACTCACCATGGAAACCAATATAATCAGCAGACACGTTATATTAATGATTAAACCTTTGCACTATATTTAAGACAACTTGCCTATCCCACATTGTCACCCCCAACCCCCTTCTGTCTATATGTTGATTGACCAGAGTGAAGCACAGAACTAACAATGATTTAAAAGGAGCCAAAATCTAGACTTTCAGGATAGAGCTAAATGTAGTATTACTTTAAACGCTCACAATTTGTAAACCTAAAGACAAGATTCCATGGATAGTGACCGTTCACTTTCGTTGAAATATTTCAAATAGGCTTATTGGGTTTGTAAAACAAGTCAGTGTTTTGTGCGAGTGCAACATTTAGAGGGACTTTGAAGACAGAAATCTGTCGAAGACCCCCTAAAGCTGTCTGCGTCTGAACAGTATTCCTTGGGGGACACAATTAAATTCAGTGCTTGTTCAGCATCATGTGGCTTCAAAGTGCACAGTTTGACCGTAAAAATGAGTCTTACTGGAGATGGCCTCATGGGATTTGTTGCAGCTAAGTAACTATTCTTGTGGAAAGGCAGCAAGCGGAAGAGTGTGCAGTGTGTGGCACCATTTTAACATTTATTTTTCTCTATTATTAAAATAAATGAGGAGCTTTTCCTGTTCGTGACAGTTATTTCTTTATCTGCAGCCATATGTCTCCATATTGGCTGTGAATTGGAGATCTAAAACAATCTTATGTAATGATTTTTTTTTTTTTTTTTGTAGATCATGCATTCCTATTCTGTTGAAAGAGGTAGTGGTTGTTGTCCTAGGAGAGAGTCAAACTGTTTTCGAATGGTTTGAAGCTTGCTTGGGTCCTATGTAAAATCCATTATTATCCCATACCGAGTATTGAACATCTATGTGCACAGCTCATTCCAAAATGTCAAAAAATTATAAATTTTATTTTTCATTTCTTTTTTTCAGTGCTGATAGAGGTAAAGGCAGAATAGACAGAAACACTAATTAAACTATACACTACAATCTGCATATTTGCTAGCACTTTGGCTGGTGCTGATACAGATAGAACACTTTGTTTACAAATGCCTTTGTGTTATTTTTGCATGACGGTCTTGAGTACATATAGTGATCTTACAGTTAGCTTCTTGTTTGTGTATTGTATGGCTTTCCCATGATCTGTAATAGTTTATCTAAAAGTTTCAAAGTCTAACATCGCTCATAGAGCATGCTGCTGCAAAGTATTCTGATGTCTTTTATTTACATTTTCTGGTGTAGCTTTCTGTATTTTCCTTGCAGCTTTTTGCTATTCATTATTTGTCTTCTTGTGACAGGAAAACCATATCCTGGAAAGTGTGTATGTAATTGTTGCCTGTAGGTATGTTGGAAAATGTGTTGGCATCTTATCTGTTAAATGATTTGGATTATCCCACAACGTATGTTTCGGAGTTTGGGGATAGATGTCATTTAAAATAAATTAATAAATAAATATATATATATATATATTTTATTTTTTAACCTGTTTTAAGATTTGCAATTCCCTGATTAATTCCCAACGAATCGTTCTTTAGTAAAAAAACCTGGTCATTCATTTCTAATCGGTCAATCCTATTTAGACACAGTTAGCCTTTACTTACACATAACTAGTCACACACAAACTGCTGAAGTAGTCCAAATGAACATTTTTGCTTTCCTTGTCATTTTTCTCAGCTTCTCATGGTTTACATTGCATTTGAATGTTTATATTTTATCCCCCCTCTTCCTTCCTCCATACACCCTTAAACATGGCTAGACTCCAATGGCTAGACTCATTCACTCACACTTGCTGTAGGCAAGTGGAAATGTAACTCTTGAAAGGGAATATTGTAGTCCCAGTCTTAGTTATTCACTAGCTGCCTTATCGCCAGTGCTTCCTGTAATAACAGCGGCAGTTTGTGCTTTCAGCCAATGAGCTGGCCCACCCGGCTTGGTTTAGAGGATCCTGCTGAAGTTCCATGCTAGATTTTCTGGCACCCAAAAGAATCCAGATAAGTTGTCAGAACCTTATCAAACAGTTTAACTTATGTTCAAACCATCATTTAGGTGGCTTGCCCCTTCTTGCCCTCCTTAAAAGGTAAGGAAATATAACTTATTTCCACTATTTTGGCATTAACTTGTCGTCCCCTGATCAAACTCCTTGGCTGACATCATCAGAATTGATGACTTCAGCCAATCCAATGCTTTCCAATATGAAAGATTTGTGTTGGCTGATGTCATCAAAGTGACCGAGCCAAATGCCGGCCTGGCCATTCATCATCTACTCAGTGAGGAAAGTTGTCTCCATGCAGAGGGTGGTGATACTGAATGGCACTCTCACTGTGCAGCATTGCCTCAGGAAGCACCTCTAGCAGCCATATGAGGAGTGGCCAGTGGAGATGTTCCTAGGCTGTAATGTAAACACAGGCCTTTTTCTAAAAAAAAAATAGTGTTCACTGCAAAAATCATGCAAGGACTGATTATATTCACCAGAACAACTACATTAAGCACTGTAACAATTCTCACTGTAATAAATAATCCTGATAGTTGTATGCTTAGCTGAAGAATTCAGCTTCTGCCATTAGCCTCAATCAATATACCACAGCTGTGTCCATGTAGTGTAATCTGTGTGTGCACCCACGCTCTCTTGCAGTCAGTTCATGCTAAGCATTGTGGGAAAACCCACTGCATAAATAAATCATGAGTTGTATATCTCCTATTTAAATATAAATTTCCTGTCATTTCATGAAGGCAGAGTACATTTTGACATACCGTAAGAGGATCTTTACATTATTTTTTTAAAGTGCAACATAATGGGGATAAATGAACAAAAGTCCTCATGTAATGTGTAATCGAGTTTTATTGGGACCAAGGACCATTATATTTGCATTAAATTAGCTGTGGTTCCATATTGACGTGCAAACCAGGTTATTACATTTTGATTTACTGGCAACAACCACCTGCAATGCATCAATTTTCTTTGTAGGGGTTAAACTACAGTTGTGATGTGGCTGCTGCAACCTGTATAGAATGTAACAAGCATGGGGATGAATCTTAACGTGTATCTCATTGAATTGTAAAAGAGACAAAGAGATTACAAATTGGCTGTGATGGAGAACAGGGAGATTTGCAGAGCTGTCATCGAATGTGTTTTACACGTTAGTGGTTTCTTCTGAAGTTCTGGTAACTGTAGTTTGAAGGCGTAATCCAAGTTGTATGACCAACCATCATATTGCGGGTGCCTTGGACTACCTCTCCCATGATGCTCGGTGACCTGATTCTAAATTTGATGATTACAATAATTATTTTCTTAAGAAGGGGGTCACATTTTAAAATGTATTTATTAAGTTTCATAATATTGTTTAAAATGAAATGATTGGTGGACGTTCAATGATGAGACTCGTGTGGATTTCAAAAAATGGAGTTTGTGGGTTGAAAGGGAATCCCTGCTGGTCCCCTGGTGTGCATTCACAGGTGCCACCAAAAATTACATAAGCAGTGATATTTCTCTTCAATTCCCAGTTGCACAAATGGGAAGGAGATGTCATTAGTCAAACCTAGAGCTAGATTTGTTAACTGACGCAATGGGATTGGCTGGTTTTAAAGCAAATCAATCCCTGCACAGAGCAGAGACATCTGCTACGTCTGTTATTGAAACCTCGATGGTGCCTGGTATATCTTCTTATGCTTTACTGAACACCCATGAGCAGTGCAAGGTATTATTATTTATTAGTAGTAGTCGTATTTATATAGCGCCAACATTGTCAGCAGCACTGCAATTATAGTATGGGAATATTTAAAGGTTCTGATCATACAATCATGAATGAAGACATTTGTTGGCACCTACATAACTTTCCACCTACCTTTTTTCAAGGAAGAATGAGGAACTGGACTTTTAATATTGGACGTCATTTGCCCTGGTGGGTGTTTTTTCTGCTCCTGTAATGCATTTATTTATTTTCAGTCCTGTACCAAAAATGGACGTCTTGCAGCTCTTGGCTGCATAATTGAAACGTTAAGTTGCTTCCATGTAGAGAGAGACTGCAAGACTTTATTTATTTTATAGATTGTTTTGTCGGCTGTTAGAATTTGAATCTGACGTTAAATTGATTCCCGTCCCCTTTCCTATAGACTGCAAGTATTTTTTTTTATTTTTCTTTGCTGCTAATGCAGTTAGATGTGTGGATGTAAATGGAGTGGTGCGATCAATGTAACATTCACAAGATATTTTAGTTCTTGTAATACATTGTATATGCATTGCGTCAGTGGTTGTTGCCATCTGAAACGGCATCTGGCTTAATGGAGCGATGAGTCATATCTCTGCTGGTTACTTTAGATTCTAATAAGCTGATCTCTGGATACCTGCGTAATGTTTTAGCGGATGTTGTAAGTTCCTTGTGGCTCCATGTATGTCTATGATGGCCAAATAGTAGATCCCCATGGTTAACTCCCATGATACAAGGCTCTCAAAAAAATTGTTAGGCAAAATCAGATGCTGCTAATGTTTGTTAGGCTAAAGTATTTTGTTTTTTGTGTGTGGTTTTATTTGCAGGATTAGGCAAGTCCTGTACTGTAAACAGGTGACTTTCATTATTTTTATTTCGAAAGTACCGGTAAATGAAACTTCCTGTTTTTCTTACATTTGTTTAATATTGCAAAACACCATATTTGATGTTTGTGTATATATAAAGCACCATGTCCAATATGTGGGTCCGACTAGTATTCATTTGCCCCTTTTCTATTTATTGTTAGTTTTATGTAATTTTATTCACCAAACTCTCTCATTGCTCACTTTACTAAATTCTCACAAGCAACTTTTACTCTGTGATATTTTCTGCCATGTTTGTCTTCTGTCTGTCTTGTATCCTTCTATTTCTCCATAAATTTGTATCAGTAAAATGGAATGCAGTGATCATTACATGAGGTATGAAAGGAGCCCCTGATATCTGAACGTACGTGTCTACACTACAGAATGTTTTAAATCTATCTACTTGCTTTTTTAATATTCATAATGACACAAATATCTGGATATTTCAGGTGACCTAATCTTTACCTTGCAGAATGTATGACAACATGTCCACAATGGTTTACCTAAAGGAAGACAAGTTGGAGAAACTCACCCAAGATGAAATTATTTCAAAGACCAAGCAGGTGATCCAAGGTTTGGAGGCCTTGAAGAACGAGCATAATTCCATCCTTCAGAGCCTCCTGGAAACTCTGAAGTGCTTAAAGAAAGATGATGAGAGCAACTTGGTGGAAGAGAAGTCCAACATGATCCGCAAGTCTCTGGAAATGCTGGAACTAGGACTGAGTGAAGCACAGGTACATTTGTAACTTTGTGTATTGGGAACATGTATATCCGGGCTTGGGTTATAGAACTTTACATGGCTGTACTGAAGCCAAAAAATGTGCGTCGATGCCAATTTTAAAAAATTTTTTTTATCACAGGTAATGATGGCATTATCAAACCATCTGAACGCGGTGGAGTCTGAGAAACAGAAGCTGAGAGCTCAAGTGCGTCGGCTCTGCCAGGAAAATCAGTGGCTGCGGGACGAGTTGGCCAGTACACAGCAGAAGCTGCAGAGGAGTGAGCAGTCTGTGGCCCAACTCGAAGAAGAGAAGAAACACCTAGAGTTTATGAATCAGCTGAAAAAATATGATGATGATATTTCTCCTTCAGTACGTAGATTTTCCATATTTTATGATTCATGTGTGTTCATTTTTATGACAGATGTGTTCTAAGGCTGCAAGTATCTCTTCTATTAGGATTTATTGAGTTTTTTTTTTTTAATGGGGAAGTGAAGTAAGTGTGATCAATAAAGAATTTCAATTTACAATAAATGGGACTGCACTCACTAAGTAGAAGGGTTTTCCAAAACGTAGCTGGCTACATACCTTATTATTATTATTATTATTATTATTATTATTATTATTATTTAAACTGATGCAATGTTTCGGTCCCAGTCAGCTTAAGAGGGGCCGTGACTGGGGCAGAAATAGCTGTCATTCGATTTAACCCTTTGAGTGCCCATGCAGCTTTTAGCCTTATACGCTATAAAGCAGAGGTGCCCAAAAGGTAGATCCCCATATGTTTTAAAACTACATCTTCCATGATCCTTTTTTTCCTAATATAATTCTAAAAGCATTGTGGGAATTGTAGTTCTACAACATATGGGGATCTAAGTTTTGGGCACCCCTGCTGTAAAGAATTTTAGTGAGAGGATGCTGCTATAGTGTGGTTGAAGTGAAGGCTGAGGTTTATTACCCTTCTATCTCACTTTTTGTGGCAGTACTGTAACATCTAAAATAAAGAGAACAATTGGCCAATGCAAACACCTGTAAGGCTAAAAGTAATTATGCCAAATAGTGCATGTCTTTATGATGAATTGAGCTGCTCAAAACTTATTTCACTAAAAGTATTAAAAATTATCTTGGGCTACCAATATATTGTTTATATAGATCAGTTCCTTTGTTATGATATTGAGTATTTTGGGTAGTTGGCAATACTCCATATCCCAAGGGGTAGACAACCTTCTGCACTCCAGATGTTGTGGCCTACATCTCCCATAATCCTTCCTGGTAAAATATTTCATAAAATAATCCTGTTAAAACCGTAATGCTGGCAAAGCATCAGGGAAGATGGAGTCCACACCATCTGGAGCTCTGAACGTCGCCTAACCCTGCCATAGCACATTAATGACCTTAGCAGTGTGGGTAAGTCACTGCAAACTGGTTCTGAATGGTGAGTGATGTACTCCCTTCTCTTTATCTTATATATAGGGTGAGGTAGAGGCAAAAAATGCCTACAAAATTCAAAATATAAACCAAGAAAAAAAATAGACATGTACTGCAGATACTGCACACTGAAGTCCCAACAGTGTATATACAACCAAAAAAGAAACACGTGTTATGTGTGCACACCCAGGTGCTATCACAATTTATTTGAGGACAAAGTTAATGCAGCAAACGTTTCGAGCAGCAGCCCTTTCTCAATGCTAATGGCCCATGTAGACATTAGCATTGAGAAAGGGCTGCTGCTCGAAACGTTTGCTGCATTAATTTTGTCCTCAAATAAATTGTGGTAGCACCTGGGTGTGCAAGCCGATACTGGATGCGCAGGACAACTGTTTGTTTTTTGGTTCTCTTTATCTTATAAGCAAACACTCACTTCTGGCTTTTTTTATTTATTAAAGGAAAACCACAACACATTTAAAAAAAAATTTTTTTTATTTTTTTTATTTTAACAAAAGAATGAAAATGACCTTGGTTATGATGGATTATTAAGTGGAACTTTGCACATATTTGTTTTTGTAAAATGTATCTGCTGGAAACCGTAAGACCCTTGTAGTTTTGTTTGATACACACAAACATGCTAACAATCTGGTATTAAAAGAACAGCAATTCTAAGAAATTAAAATCTATGATCTTGGACGGTCACTGTGCTGCGTAAAATGAGACTTCTGCCTCATCTAGTGGATCAGATTAATGGATGTTGAATGTGTTACTGTCGATGAGATTAGCATTGGACCATGCATAGAGAGCGAGTGAGAGTGTGTGTGTATTTGTGCAATGTTTGGTAATGGCGACAAGCTCCAATCACCTACAGCCAAGGGAAAAGCCAGGCCACGGGATGTTCCAATCCTAGAAATCATCTCACAATAGAATTACAGTGGAAAAGGAGTTTTATTTACACCAAAACCGATAGCCGCACAGGTGGAGCCACAAAATGTAGGAAAGATAATTAAGGACCTATGGGTCGGAAATCCATTAGAATGTTTTGTAGCTCCCTCAATGTTTTTTTTTTGTTTGTTTATCTGATTTGGTGCTATTAAAACTTTTACATTTACTGCTTGATAGTCCTTGGGCCTGCTTTCTGCAGTGCTTTGTGACCCAATACAACATTGACCTGTGTCGAGTTACTGGTATTGTGATAATGCTGCATTAACTAACTTGGTTTAAATACGTTTGCTTCCTTTTGGCTGTTTTTGCATTTGAATAGCTGTATAGAAGATTAAAATATTCTGGGTATTGACTCTGCTAAATTGGATCTTGCTTGCTGACTCTGCATAGTTAATGACATTGTTAGCAATGCTGAGCCAACATTAGCATGAGCATCTTTCAGCATTTTAATGTACCCTTTTTTTTATTTTATTTTTATAGGATGACAAAGACAGTGATTCTTCAAAGGAGCCGCTGGATGATCTGTTCCCTAATGACGATGATGATCAGGGTCCAGGAAGTAAGTGTTTTGCGCATCAAACCGTTTTGTCTGTTTTCACCATGAGTTAAAAGTGTACCAGCTATCCAAAAATGATATGGGTATCGTTGATGAGAATTGCATTCCGGTTTAGTTCCTTGACTTACCTGTTTAGGTATGTGCACACTCTGCAGCTCCTTCTCACCTCTTGTCCTCAAGCTGTCTGGGGGTTCCTTCCTGTTTTTTTTAATTTATTTTATTGGTGGTATTCTTCAGAATCCAGTTGTCATTGTTTTATATTTTTGTTTGCATGTAGATACTGACATTAGTCTTAATTGTGGTGGGAACAAAGACCACATTACGTAAATTCGTTAAACTATTTCTAGCTACACATTTTGGTAAAATTGGAACTTGGCCATAGTTTAATGATATAAATATCTTGGTACTTATTGGAACAAATCTATTATTTGTGTAGAGACTGCTATAAAGGATAAATAGTAGTGGTGGGTGGTCCACCGTGTGAAGCAGAAAGGTTAACAAAAACCAGAGCATTGTGACATTTGGATTAAGCGGCGTTAGTAACGTTACGAAGCTGTGAACAGGCTTATGGTCGGAAGAGAGAATTGGGGTCAGTTGTAGTGCAGATTAAAAACTGTAGGGGGTGTGTACTGACTAAGGTTAGAAATTAGTCATCCATGGGCTGGTTAGATGATAAGATGACATTTAAATAAAGTAAGATCAAGGAAATGGAGAAATGCCAAAATATTGGAATATTTCAAGACATTTCCATGAATTTGAATAGAGGTATGAAGAAGATTGACAGGATATTGCTAATATGTGCAGAGAGATTTTCACCAGTTTAATGTTAGTTGGGCTGTAGCTATAAGACTCCCATCAGTCAGGGATGTTCTCTATTTCTGTTAAAGATCCATCCAACTTGTGTGGTGGTAGTCTCATGCATACTAAGCACATCTCTCCCCTCCTGTCCTGCTCTGGAGGGAACCTGAGCAATGACAGTGCTGTACACTATGAAAGTCACAAACCTCTAAACGGGGCTGTGAATAGGCTTATCTTTTGACAGAACATTACTGCATTATGGAAAATAATTTAATAAAAGATCATGTGTTGCAATAATAGAACATATGAAATGTTTTAGAATTTTTTTTTGTCTTGGGTGAGAGTAAGAGATGCAACACACAAACATACAGCGAGCACATGCTCATATACACATAACGTGCTGTACAAAAAAAAAAATATCTATATATCTCACACGTGCTCCTCAAAAGTGGGTAGAAATATTTAAAATAAAAACTACCGTTATAGTACAATAGATTGTAAGAAGCTCCTTTTAAGTCTTCTTAATAGAAATGTGAGAAATACAATCTAAAAAACTCCAAGACTGCGCTGGAGGTTAAAATGCACTCACAAGATAATAGATTGCAGGCGTATAAGTAATCTTAAAGGTGGAAGGAGCTTGTTCATCTTCTCTCTCGATCTTAAATCGGGGTTAAGAGAGAGACACAGACATAGTGCACCAATATAATAACTTGATAAGTATTTATTTAGATTGCAGTCACAGAATCAATATGTAAATCGAGCATATCACTAAACCAATCCCTAGGGACCACGGACTTGGATGGAATCCGTTGGGGTCGGGAACAAGGTGTGAAGCAGCCAAAAAACATACACAAATAATAAAAAAAAAAGTTTAAAAACTAAAGTGCTGAATGAGTCTCTCCTCCCTATGCGTTTCGTCCTGGGTCGGACTTCATCAGGGGAAATTGAAGATGTCTTCAATTGTCGGTGTCTCTCTCATAACCCTTATTTAAGGTCGAGAGAAGATCAAGCTCCTTCCATCTTTGATGCCTTATATGCCTGCAATCTTATCTTGTGAGTGCGTATTAGCCTCCAGCGCAGTCTTGGTGTTTTTATATACTGAACCGTTATTTATTTTTATTTCTAGATTGTATTTATTACACACACACAAGATGCTGTCAGCACTGGCGTATGTGAACAGACCGCACAGAGTCGGCACACACATGCATGAGCCCACAAACATGGGGGAGGACATGGGGCGAGACATAAAACTCCAAATGTTTGCACAATTAATTGTTGGAGTATTTTTCTAGACAAGCTATTTCGCACTCAGATTTTTCTTTATTGGTTGAAGGAACACTATAGGGTCAGGAAAACATATGTATGTTAACAACACTATCCTCCTCGGCTGAATGCGCACACGCGGCAAGAGCCGCGCGCGCATTCAGCCAGTCTCATAGGAAAGCATTCTCAATGCTTTCCCATGGACTCTGGCGTCTTCTCACTGTGAAAATCGCAGTGAAAAGCGCCTCTAGCGCTGTATCCCTAGGCTGTAATGTAAACACAGGCCTTTTGATGTAAATACGGAAGGGAAATGAACTACATTAAAGGGACACTCCAGGCACCTAGACCACTTCTGACCACTTCGGTCCCACTACCCTTAACCCTGCAAGTGTAATTATTGCAGCTTTCATAAACTGCAATATTTACCTTGCAGGGTTAACTCCTCCTCTAGTGGCTGTCTACTAGACAGCCACTAGAGGGCACTTCCGCGTTTTTAGCACACGAAAAGTGTGCTATAGCGTCGCTGGATGTCCACACACTATGTAAGGACCTCCTGCGTCGCTGAAATCCTCAATGCTTTCCTATGGGGATAGACAAAAAATGGAGTTCTGAGCATCAAGTAGGTAGTGCACACCCAGGTGCTACTGCAGTTTATTAGAGTACACAATATAAACAAACGTTTCGGGCAACAAGCCCTTCCTCAGTGCTAATGGGGAAGGGCTTGTTGCCCGAAAAGTTTGTTTATATTGTGTCCTCTAATAAACTGCAGTAGCACCTGGGTGTGCACTACCTACTTGATGCGCAGAACTCCATTTTTTTTGTCTATCTGCTTGTTACACTGTTGGAACTAAAGTAAGGAGACCCTGCAGCTCGGATTTAACTGTTCATTACTGTATTCTTTATCTTTGATAATCGGTGGGCATCATTGATGACTCTGCCTCATCCTATGCATAGTGCTTTACTATGGGGAGGCTTAATGCAATGGTGCGCACGCGCATTAGGTCTCCACCCCCCTCTCCCCCGCCGGCGGCAGCGCATGCTCAATAGGTCTCCCTCCCTGACCTATTTTGTGTCAGGGCAAGTAGAATGTCAGTGGCTACTGCACAGGGGTTTATTGTATAAGGGGGGGAAAAAAACACCCCACAAACCAGCATTAGACTCTTGGAGGGTTTTTCTCTCTTGCCAGTGCAAGTACAGGAACTTTACAAACATTCTAGGTATTTTAAAAATATTTTTATGTATTTAATTGGCATGGATTTAAATGCATTCTCTATGTTAAGCATTACAAAAAGTGAAATAATGTAAACCGCCGTTTCACGAATATCGCTGATGTAGTCTTAATCTCATAAACTGATATTTGATTTTCGTACAGTGCAACAACAACACAGTAGCGCTGCAGCTGCTGCCCAGCAAGGAGGATATGAAATCCCTGCCAGACTAAGGACCCTGCATAATCTGGTGATTCAGTATGCCTCCCAGGGCAGGTACGAAGTTGCCGTGCCTCTCTGCAAGCAAGCTCTTGAAGACCTGGAGAAGACCTCTGGCCATGATCACCCTGATGTCGCCACAATGCTCAATATACTGGCTCTGGTCTACAGGTTGGTGTCGTTTTCTAATCTGTTTGAATGTTAAATAGATTAATCCCATCTAAATGTTTTCCTTGTGTGACTATGGAGCATGTTATCGTTGGTTTTGAAAGGGTACGTCTTGTTGGGCGTATTTACAGGAATTGACGGAAAATTTACATTGTCATGAATAGGACAAATGTATTTTACAGCACCAAGTTACATGGATCCTGTATGCTTTGCTAGCCAAATTATCTGCGATAGCGTTGATTTGTTTCTTGTTCTTCATACAGTCAAGAGTCGGGCATCATAAGTACTGCATACCGATGTAGTGTTATGGTACTATTAGGCTGCGGGTGTGTCCCTCTCTTGCTGGTCCATATTTTGAGCAATTTGATCAAAACTGGTCCGTGAGGACCCTTAGACCTTGCTCTCCCATTCTGATGTAAATATCAATAAAGCAATATTTAGTTCATATTTGGATGGTAATGATTGACTTAGTGTGACCTTGAAATGAAGACTTTTAATTTTCCCTTTGTTCTGATCCATTCCTCCCCTCCTGAAATCACAATCACTGTGGAAACATGTTTTTTATATTATTTTCTTAATTTCTAGAGAATATATTTTGAATTGTAAAATAAGCTTAACATGTTTTTATCATCCAAATTTTATTTCAGGGATCAGAATAAATATAAGGATGCCGCAAACCTACTAAATGATGCCTTGGCAATCCGTGAGAAAACTTTGGGCAAAGATCACCCAGCAGTAAGTAACTGGAGGATACTTTCTTTACAATGCCACGTGTATCTGTTTGTTACATTCTGCGCACCGTTTAAGTTTTAATATTAAACTCAACAGGCAAGGTTGCATGTGAACTGGCTGTCGAGTAGAGGAGAAGGTAGGTCTTCTCAAAGCCCCCAAAGCTGGTTTACCAATCACAACTTCTCTGCATTGCAGCTTAGACTTGTCATCCTTTTTAAAGCAGCAGTACTACCTGCAATATTTTAAGACGCAGATACTAGCAGGAAAATATTTCTGTTCCACTGGTCTAGGACAACATCCATATGTATATTGGTGTATTAACTTCCTGTACAGCTAGCTTGTTTGGAAACACCTTATTTCTAATTTGAAGTATTTTTGTACTATACATACATACTAGAAAGAGTTTAAAGGAGATTTGTTTTTTCAGGTTGAATAAATTAGTCATGTAAAACGGGTAGAGGGAGCAGATTGGTTGAAAAGTCTATTTGCTATGGCAGCAGAAAAATCTTTATTTTTATTTTTTTTATGTAAAACCTTTTTTGAAATTATTTTTGTTATGTATGTAAATCAGAGGAGACGTCTGCTTCCTCTTTACTTTTAATACACTGTTAATATTCAGTCCTAGCAACACCTTTAGATGACGTCCCTATTTTGCACTTTTTGTTATAGACAAATGTGTTTATTCTTAAGCAAAATTGTTTCCATTGCACTAGATTTTGTAACCTGTGATGAATAGAATCAACAAGGCCTTGTTCCTTCTAATTTTAAATCAAGGTTAGGCAGCTCCAGCCTTGTTGTTTTTGTGACTCTGTCATAGATAGCAATGTTGTGTATTAACTATTACTGCACATGAGGGATTTTTTTAAATCTATTGATTAGCACAATTGGAGTTTCAAGGCATTTTGTCATGAAGGGATATTGCATTAATAAGTGGCAGTTAGAGCTAAACTTTTCATTCCATTTTTCTTTTCCCCATTTTTAAAACACAAAACTGAATAACAGGAGACTTTACCTAGAGCAGGGAGCACTGCTGCTTTACAGGATTCACTTGAATTTCATTCTTTTAAAATATATGTATTTTTGAAATCATTGCATGCAATAGCAAAACTCTTCTGAAATTATTTTAATGTGATTTTCTTACAAATCTGCATAGATATATTTAAAGGAAAATTAAAAACAAAAATGACACCATTCTCTGTAGAATTCTTTATGTCAAAGGTAAATTCTGAAAACCGAAATAGGATTTTGTATTTACTATTTTAACATCCATGTGATATCAACTGGTGCCAGGTGTCTTTACAGAAGCCCAACAAGACTGCACATATATGTTGTAATTAAAGAAGGTGTTAGCACTATTGTACATGAATCAACATGACAATGGAAACGGGCTACACCTAGAGTGTAAGGCTGACTGAAAGAAGGTTAAAATGTTAGGACGCTTGGATGGAAAAAATAGCCTTTTTTTTAGTTCAGTTGTGGACGATTTCAAATTGTAATGCTTCAAACAATTATTCTTACTACTCTGTAAGTTAGAACATCTTTCCATGTTTAATCATATTCTTCAATCCTCTGTAATCTGAACACTTTAAATTGTCAATGTTTTACTGTTCCCTGATTTGCAAATTGTTTCCAATATGTAGACTTCGGGTTGGATAATATGCAGCTTTCAAACTTCTTTGATCTCCTCCTGTCATTCTGAGAAGGGAGACGGTATTGGTGGCTTACAGATTGCAAAGACCGTCTCGCTCTTATAGCATGCATACATCGATCCTATTAGCACATTTTAAATGAACACTTGATTTAAAAATTGTGTTGCTAAATCTTTTCTGTGCGGGTATTCAGCTATTTCTTTTCTTTGTTTAGGTTGCAGCCACCCTTAATAACCTTGCAGTGCTTTATGGAAAGAGAGGAAAATACAGGGAAGCAGAGCCTTTGTGTAAAAGAGCTCTGGAGATCCGGGAAAAGGTAATTTTCTAATATGAAATAACAACCATTCATTGCTAATACACAAGGAGCGGTCCTACACCTTCATTGGTTTCCGTTCACTGGCCAATTTATCCGTAAACCTGTTAAGTCAGTTCTGTGTGTCAGAAACAATGACTTCAGAATGATTTACTGCGACAACAAAGATTTTAAAGCAACTTAACGCTGTTCCTATAACTCTGATCCTGCTGTATGTCTTCCATACAATTCTTAATTATTTTACTATTGTTGCCTCCCTTGGTCATCTGAATGTATATGCATTCTCTTGCATTTCTGATTTCTGGGTGTGAAAACTAGTGCAGTGAGTTAGGGTGGGGGTGCAGAATTTTTGACTATAAAACAGCCTACGGATTAGTGTGTATTTATTTGGGTGGCTGAAAAGCTTGACTATAAAGTGGGCCTGTCATTTACAAAATGTATGACTAACAAGGCCAGCTTCAGGTGAGTATACAGTAATCCCTTGTGAAGAGCTTAGGCATGTCCCTTTACATTTTGATGTGCAAGCTGTGTATGATGGAGCAGTGCGTCTATAGAATGAGCTTGTGATAAATGCACTGATTGCATACTATATCGACCTAATACTTACTTCTGGCTAATGAAATACCTTTCTCTCCAACAACGGCCTGTGATCAGAATCCTCCACTTAGTTTTGTGATTTTTTTATTTTTTTATTTTTTTTAAGTAAAACCACAAATACTTATGACAACTCTAGGTTAGCCATTGCAATGTACTCTAAAATCTTTCTAATGATTGTATTTAGTGATGATTCCTACAAATATGTATTCCTAATATTACAGTTCCTTATTATTATTATTTTATTTTTTAAAGAGATATCCCTTACCAATATTGAGTAAAATCGTTTTACTCACGTTAGTTCCATGCCCCTCCGGTCCTTCCACGGTTCCTTCTCTGGCTAAAATCATTAGTTTATCTGTCAATCCATTGCTTCCTCATAAGGTAACATTAAAGGACCACTCTAGGCACCCAGACCACTTCAGCTTAATGAAGTGGTCTGGGTGCCAGGTCCAGCTAGGGTTAACCCATTTTTTCATAAACATAGCAGTTTCAGAGAAACTGCTATGTTTATGAATGGGTTAAGCCTTCCCCCTAATCCTCTAGTGGCTGTCTCATTGACAGCCACTAGAGGCGCTTGCGTGCTTCTCACTGTGATTTTTCACAGTGAGAGCACGCAAGCGTCCATAGGAAAGCATTATGAATGCTTTCCTATGTGACCGGCTGAAGGCGCGCGCAGCTCTTGCCGCGCGTGCGCATTCAGCCGACGGGGAGGAACGGAGGAGGAGAGCTCTCCACCCAGCGCTGGAAAAAGGTGGGGGCGGGAGGGGGACCCTGAGGGTGGGGGCACCCTCAGGGCACTATAGTGCCAGGAAAACGAGTATGTTTTCCTGGCACTATAGTGGTCCTTTGAGGGACTAGAGTGCATGTGCAGCTATCATTATTCATCTATAGAGATCCATCAGTATATCTCTATGGTGACTATTTGGCATCTTTATGTAGAGTGTGACGACTCTAATCATCAGTCCTGCATAGATACAGTACTACAACAGGGTACCTCTAGTGGCTGCTGACTGACACACTAGAGGTGGTTTAAGGACAGATATAAACATTACCTTTTCTCAGAAAAAGCAGTGTTTACAATTGTTAGACAGCAGGGACAGATTTGCTCTTGAACCACTACATTAAAGGGACACTATAGTCACCTGAACAACTTTAGCTTAATGAAGCAGTTTTGGCGTATAGAACATGCCCCTGCAGCCTCACTGCTCAATCCTCTGCCATTTAGGAGTTAAATCCCTTTGTTTATGAACCTCCCTGCATGTGACTTGCACAGCCTTCCATGAACACTTCCTGTAAAGAGAGCCCTATTTAGGCTTTCTTTATTGCAAGTTCTGTTTAATTAAGATTTTCTTATCCCCTGCTATGTTAATAGCTTGCTAGAACCTGCAAGATCCTCCTGTATGTGATTAAAGTTCAGTTTACAGATTGAGATACGTTTAAGGTAAATTACATCTGTTTGAAAGTGAAACCAGTTTTTTTTTTTTTCATGCAGGCTCTGTCAATCATAGCCAGGGGAGGTGTGGCTAGGGCTGCATAAACAGAAACAAAGTGATTTAACTCCTAAATGACAGTGAATTGAGCAGTGAAATTGAAGGGGAATGATCTATACACTAAAACTGCTTTATTTAGCTAAAGTAATTTAGGTGACTATAGTGTTCCTTTAAGCCGTATTGGTTCTGGTGCTTATTTTCCCTTTAAAGGCTGTCTGAGTGTCCACATACATCGGTGCTAGCAACATATAGTGTTACTGATATGTGGTATTTGTAAAATGAATTTTCTTACACAGGATTTGACTATAAATCCAATTTACTAGTATTGCTTGGAATGAAAGGGAGTGTAAAAGAGCTTGTATGTATAACTTTAAATATTTGCCAATCTTAAATACAGCTCATAGAGCTTGGGGAATGTTTTACTGTGATGTTGATCAGCAGTGAAGATTTGTGAGTATAGTCCAAAACGTCTATTATTTCAGGTTCTGGGGAAAGACCATCCGGATGTAGCCAAACAATTAAACAATTTGGCATTATTGTGCCAGAACCAGGGCAAGTATGAGGAAGTGGAATATTATTATCAGAGGGCCCTGGAAATCTACCAAACCAAACTGGGACCCGACGATGCCAACGTGGCTAAAACAAAAAACAACCTGGTAAGTTTGGGACTTCCACATAGTAGGGTACGATTTTTCATGTGTGCGTTCAGTATGTAGAATGACTTATGTTTTTGTTTTACAGGCTTCCTGCTATTTGAAACAAGGAAAGTTTAAGCAAGCGGAAACTTTGTATAAGGAAATCCTGACCCGTGCTCACGAAAGGGAGTTTGGCTCAGTGGACGGTAAGGATCTCAGTTCAAAGCCTGGTTTAAAAGACCACACACGTTTTTCTGGTATCCATGCCATTTCCATTGAAATACATGTTCCATCCTTGAAGGAATTCTTGTTTTGAAGTTAACTTTGAGATTAACGTGAATCATTTTACACTATTACTCTTCAGTAACATATTCTATTATAAGGTTGTTTTTTGCCAGTGTTTGAATCCTGTCCTATTTTTTTCTTGTTTTCTAGATGAAAACAAACCAATCTGGATGCACGCTGAAGAAAGGGAAAAATTCAAGGTAATAACAGAGTACCAAAATATTTAGTTCAACGGTAAAATCATGTTCCCATACTCCTCTCCCTAAATAACATCAATGTGTAACTTCTAAAAATATATGGACCTAGTGGGTGCTGTGGCTCAAGTTAAAGGACCACTCTAGGCACCTAGACCACTTCAGCTTAATGAAGTGGTCTGGGTGCCTGGTCCAGCTAGGGTTAACCCATTTTTTCATAAACATAGCAGTTTCAGAGAAACTGCTATGTTTATGAATGGGTTAAGCCTTCCCCCAAAGCCTCTAGCGGCTGTCTCATTGACAGCCGCTAGAGGCGCTTGCGTGCTTATAACTGTGAAAATCACAGTGAGAGCATGCAAGCGTCCATAGGAAAGCATTATGAATGCTTTCCTATGCGACCGGCTGAATGCGCGCGCGCGCAGCACTTGCTGCGCGTGTGCATTCAGCCAAAGGGGAGGATCGGAGGAGGAGAGCTCCCCGCCCAGCGCTGGAAAAAGGTAAGTTTTAACCCCTTTCCCCTTTCCAGAGCTGGGCGGGAGGGGGACCCTGAGGGTGGGGGCACCCTCAGGGCACTATAGTGCCAGGAAAACTAGTATGTTTTCCTGGCACTATAGTGGTCCTTTAAGCTTGAATAAGCTTAAATGTCGCTGGTATATGAAATCTGTATGGTATTTTACATTATTGGATTTTTTTCTTCTTGATCAGAAATACTACTAAAGAAGATGTAGTGACTTGCGTCTCATGGAGTTTTAAAGTGGAAAGATAACACTGAACTACAACTCGCAGAAACCCTTGATTTTTACCCACAATGCATTGCTTTTTGGATTAGCTCTAGGATATAGAAGGATGAGTGGGCATCATGTTTAAGTGGTTACAACCATGTTCACTACAGAATCTGCAAAACCTGGGGAAATGCAGCAAAATCAAATCATAATAAATCATATTTTAATTTTCTCTGCCATGGTTAATCATCATTACATTAGGAAATCCATCACAAAACTGAAATTAAAATGGGAGCAATAAGGGACTCTGTACTCCTCTCACTCATCAGCTCAGTAATTGGATTGTCTAGGTTTTTAGTATCAAAACGAGCCCTGACATAGGTGGCGTCTCATAATCCCCTATCACAACACAATCAACATATACATTTTAATACCGCTTTGTAAGAGTGTATATTCAAGTTACTGCTGTTTATCAGAGTTTCATATCAGAAAATCATTGAAAATTTATAAACCTTTTTTTTGAATTTGTTTTAATTTGTATATTAATGTGTTTTTACAAGTGAAAATCAAAACCGTGTAGCTGTTGTCCATGGTTTACTTTGCTGCTTCCACTTAATATATGTCACTTAGACTGTGGCCTTGTGTTTTAGGGAAAGCAAAAGGATGGCACATTTGGAGAGTACGGTGGCTGGTACAAGGCCTGCAAGGTTGATAGGTAAGTGTACAATAATTTATATTTAACACGTAGAGCAGAACATGTCCACTGTACAAAAATAAGAGACGTTCTGTCACATGGGTTTACCATTGAGAGATGACTTTGTAACCCCTCCTTGGTCCATATGCTAATTGCATGTGTTATGAAATGTAGAAGTGATAATATTGTTTGCACGTACTTCACTTATTTTAAAGTAATTTTGCAATGCAAATTTTGAAATTAAAGTGAGACACGCCATCCTACGATTAACAGTCCTAGTTGTTTTTGCTTTAATATGTGAGTGTATCATTCTCCCCTTCTTACACCTCTCTATCCAGTCCGACAGTCACTACTACACTGAAGAACCTTGGAGCACTTTATAGACGTCAGGGCAAGTTCGAAGCAGCAGAGACTTTAGAAGAGGCAGCAATGAGGTCAAGAAAGCAGGCAAGTTGTGATCTTTGTCGTGTTTGCACATAAATCCATCAATTTCCTTTAGTGCATGTATGGAATATTAATTTTCCCTAAATCATTGTTTACCCCTCTTCAGCTGTTTAGACAGTAGAACTCTTTCTGTTTGGCCCCTTTCATTTTAGAAATCCCCATGCATGTCCCATGGGTGTCTTAAACCACCCAACATGTATGATGCGTTGAAGCACTAAAACAAAGCAGGCTTTTAAAATAAATCATTTTGTAGAAAACTGAGATTTTAATAATCACCATGCAGTAGATTCAGTTGTGTTCATAAGTGATAGTAGCTGTTTCCTTGTGTTAAAAAGCCACATTGGTTGCTCCCAACTAATTTGCTGTGAAAATAAAATGAGTTGCAAGTTACTAAATGCCCCCACTATAGTGCCCTGAGCAGTTAAAACCCCTTCAGCAGCTTACCTTATTCCAGCGCTGGGCTCCCTTGGCGCTGGTGAACTATCCTTCCCCGCAGACGTCAGCTCCCTCGTGCAATCAGGCTGTCCTATAGACGCTCTGCGTGATGGACGCATTATATGCCTCCAGCATCGCAGATGCTCCTCTAGTGGTTGTCCGGAAGACAGCCACTAGAGGCTGGACTAACCCCAAATGTAAACATAGCAGTTTCTCTGAAACTGCTATGTTTGCATCTGCGGGGTTAAAACCTGAGGGACATTGCACCCAGACCACTTCATTGAGCTTAAGTGGTCTGGGTGACTAGTGCCCCTTTAATGTTGTCAATGGTTAGCGGAGAGTGGAAAATGTTAGCCCTGGTATAAGGGTATATTTGACACTAACCCTGTGCAGGTAGGCAAAGCATCAAATTTAAGAAATTGAGCGTACTGCGCTCTTAATGGGTGTCAACTTTAGAAACAGAAGGACATGGGGGAAAATGCCTCAGTACCAAAATATTGCAACTGAGTTGCTTTAAAACCCTGCCTCTCTGCTGAATATTTTATTTAACTTTCGTTGTTTTTGGTGAGGTTCTCTTTCATTGCATATTGTGAAATGTAGATTCCAGTGTACTGAGCATGTTTGTTATGTTGATTGTGTTGTCATTTTGTTTCTGTATAAACCCTCTCACCATAGCTTCACCTCTATCATTTCATTATCACTGTGTGTCTTGCTGTACTATTTTCTTCTTTCCTGCAAATGGGTCTCAGGGACTTCTTCCTCCTTTACTTGTAACTAAAGGGTGCTGTCTCACAGGGACTAGACAATGTCCACAAGCAAAGAGTGGCAGAAGTATTAAATGACCCCGAAAGCATTGAAAAGCGAAGAAGCCGAGAGAGCCTGGACGTGGTAAAGTACGAGAGTGGCCCAGACGGAGGGGAGGAAGTGAGTATGAGCGTTGAGTGGAATGGGGTAAGTGCAGTACACATGTTCTCAATCTGTAACCAACCTTAAACTGCATTAACACAATTGGCATGCCGTTTAATCACCTTATACAATAAGAAATCTCTTGCCTGACTCTTAAGTCTTTCACCACTTTTTATCCGGCCTCTTTTCTGAAAGTCTTGCAGTGCTGATTGAATGTCTACTTTTTTGGCACTTTATTATTTTTAGTATTTTATGGTGTACTTTAGCTCTCTGTTTGAAATCGTATATCTATTTAAGTGATATAAGCAGCCCTTTGGAAGGCTTACACCCACACAGTCAACAAAACTCTTCCAACATCACAGCAACTATGCCAGGGCTGATTGCTCTGATCATGGTGCTAGGAAGATTCTTCTGCAGTCTGTCTGTTTAAAACCCCAGGCTTATTATTGTGTTAAATGTCCATCACCCAAATTCTTCTGCCTCTCCCTTTAACTTTTGCCATTCAGCTGTCTAAGTATTTGTGTGGAGTGTTCAAGCACTGACTGTTCAAGTCGGCCCCTTGATACTGCCGGAGGTGCCTACATCATAGCTTAGATGACGAATTGTGAAGCAGCTTTCGTTAAATGATTTCCATAATTAGCAATCTGAATGCTGGACACGTAAAAGAAAATTCAAAGGAATTTCAAAAGGGGAGTTTGCTGGTACAGCTTCTTAGCGACATAACTACAGTAAGTTTTAGTATTTATGGTGTTAGGAGTGTCCCTTTACAATTGTCATGGAGCACTCTGTATATAAACATTATGGATCTTAGAGAATGAGTGTTATTACAGTGAGAGGCCTGACCTTTGACAGGTAATGAATTGCTGGGAAAGAGAGGATGGGGACAATTGAAAGCTGATCTGTTTGAAATCAAAGGTGTATTCTGAATGGCTGCATTGAGTGATATTGGAGCACACCCACACTGCACGAATTGTGGGATGCCTTCCTGGTCATTTAGGCTTAATTGCCGCTTTCCTTTTTGGCTGTCGTGTTCCTGAAGAAGGAATAATTATCCGATATTTAATTTCAATTTCTTCATTTTATGTTGTTTTGGCATATGTAACACTTACAGTGCATCTTATTTATGTATGTCTTTTATTATTTTAATATATAGTTTTATATATATTTTTTTTCTGTGATGTCTCTTGTGACAATTAATCAGCACCTGTTAGACCTTCATTCAATTTCCTGTCCTCCGTTCTGTGAAAATGAAAAGCATGGGTCATTCCCTAATTTCTGCTAATTTTGAACTGTGTACTGTGCTCTCCCCTTTATTTCTGCTGGACTTTGCATGTTGTGTATTAAACTTTTTTTTTTTTTCTGTAATGTTATTTGAAAGAAGGGATGGATGTTAATAAGCATAGCAAAGGGTGTGGGAAGAGGAGTAGTTTTATATCATTTTTGTTTTATTGACTGTTGGGGAAAGTCTAGCAGTATTTCTAGGTCTGTCATTCACTCCCTAATGAGTTTACTATTCATACTCCAGATGTTAATACATACTTCCTACAATTATCAAAGTTGTTCTCGAACACCTGGAGAGCAGCTTGCCAGGAATTTGTCACATGGATGCAATAAAAAACCCCAAAAATAACCAGTTTGTTTCTTCATCTTTACTTCTCAAATCCCATATTGTTATGGAATAATTTATTTTTTTTACTTTTTATTTTTTTTTATTTTAAAACTTGTATGTGAAAAGTACCACATTCCATCTACTTTTTATTCACATTTAATTTGCTTGTGACGTCATCCTTTTGTACTTCTGTGGCCACGTGTAGTCCTCAGATTGCCTGCGAGTTTTAGTATTGATGACCTTCTCCATTTGGCCACCTCTCCTCCATTGAGAATGTGTCCGTTGCAAAAAAGGCATGCTTTGTTTCATTTATCCATCATCCCTGCATGGATCGTGACATATTGCATTTTATTTAGTTCTATTAACTAGGCACTTCATGCTCAGGTTTCTTAGGCACAATAGCTAAGTAAACGGGATTTAAAAGCCTTGAGGATTTAGTTTACAATACACAAGGTCCGAACCTCTCCTACCTACTGATTACAGGATTAAAGTTGACTTCAGCAACTTTCCCTCAAGTGACATTTTGCAAAGCCCTAGTGTTTGTAAACCGTATGTTGCTTTGGTGGCCTGACACTGAAAAATAAAGTCCCAGAAATAAGGAATGTTGCGGTGCTGCTCCTTCGCTGAATACATTTTATTTCAGCGTGTAGTAAAGTGGGCCTGGCAGGGTTGCACTTACTGTGCTTGTCGGAGTCCTACGTTTTAAGTGGTGACACATTGCCTGGTGCACTGATGATGTTGCACTGGAGGAGCAATGTTGGTATGCTCTCCTTACGGCTGCACTATTGCGGTTTTAGGGGCCGGAGTATTTGCTCAACATTAAGTAGTGTAGAACAGAGGTAGCGCTATTTTTTTATCTATATATTTATTTATTTTTTACAATTATTTTTTCTTTCTTCTTTAGATAGCCAATACTAAAGGGGTCTGTCTAATCACCATAACCACTACAGGCTGCTCTCGTGATTATCATGCTTGCAGGCTACTAGCTCTATCACCTAGCACCTCTTAGCTAATTACTAGCAATATTAACAGTGCTAATACAGAAATTCTGTATTAGAACTTCTATATCCGTAATATTGTGAGTTATAGGCCAGGCCACGCCAATAACCTGCTTGCACTTTAACCACTACATCTGGTTATGGTGCTCTGACTGCCCTTTTTAATGCTAGCCATTTCAAAACTAAGAATAAAGTCTAAAGGTAGGGAAACAAAAACCTTGCTATAGCTTAACTTTTAATATACCGTATATACTCGAGTATAAGCCGAGTTTTTCGGCACATTTTTTGTGCTGAAAAACCCCAACTCGGCTTATACTCGAGTCAGTCTGTATTATGGCAATTTATATTGCCATAATACAGACTAGGGGCTGGCAGAGCTGTTACTTACCTCTCCTGCAGCTCCTGCCAGCTCTCTCCTCCTCCGCGCCGGTCCGGTCAGCACCTCGGTCAGCTCCCAGTGTAAGTCTCGCGAGAGCCGCGGGGTCATAGTGTGGCTCTCGCGAGACTTACAGTGTGAGCTGAGAGAAGAGCTGCACGGACCGGCGCGGAGGAGGAGGGAGCTGGCAGGAGCTGCAGGAGAGGTAAGTTACAGCTCTGCCAGCCCCCTCCTCCCCCCACTGAACTGCCAATGCCACTGGACCACCAGGGAAGGAGAGCCCCCCTCCCTGCCATGTATCAAGCAGGGAGGGGGGACACAAAATAAATTAATTAATTAATAATATATAAATAAAAATAATAAACAAAATAATAATATAACAAAAATTTTTTAAATAATATCAATTAATAATATATAAATAATAATAAAAAAATAATATAACCAAAAATTTTTTATTTTTTTTTATAAAAATGCCCACCCCCCACCAAAGCTCTGCAACACAAACACACACTGCATCACACACACACACACTGCATCACACACACTGCACTCATACACACACTGCATCACACACACACACTGCATTCATACACACACACTGCATCACACACACACACACTGCATCACACACACTCACATCACACACACACACTGCACTCACACACACACACTGCACTCATACACACACACTGCACTCATACTCATACACACACACTGCACTCCATACCACACACACACACTGCACTCATACTCACACACACACACTGCACTCATACACACACACACTGTACCCATACACACACACACTGCACTCATACACACACACACACACTGCACTCATACACACATACACTGCACCTCATACCCAACATACACACACTGCACTCCATACCCACATACACACACTGCACTCCATACCCACATACACACACTGCACTCCATACACACCACTCCATACCCACACACACTGCACTCATACCCACACACACTGCACTCCATACCCACACACACACTGCACTCATACCCACACACACTGCACTCATACCCACACACACTGCACTCATACCCACATACAATGCTTTCGTTCACACACTGCATTTACACACACTGCGCACTCTTACACACACACTGCACTCTTACACACACACTGCACTCTTACACACACACTGCACTCTTACACACACACTGCACTCTTACACACACACTGCACTCTACACACACACTGCACTCTTTATACACACACACTGCACCTTATACACACACACACTGCACTCATACACACACACACTGCACTCATACACACACTGCACTCATACACACACACACTGCACTCATACACACACACACTGCACTCATACCCACATACACACACTGCACTCATACCCACATACACACACTGCACTCATACCCACATACACACACTGCACTCATACCCACATACACTGCACTCGTACACACACTGCACTCGTACACACACTGCACTCGTACACACACTGCACTCTTACACACACACACTGCATTCTTACACACACACTGCATTCTTACACACACACTGCATTCTTACACACACACACACACTGCATTCATACACACTGCACTCTTACACACACACACTGCATTCTTACACACACACTGCATTCATACACACACACTGCACTCATACACACACACTGCACTCATACACACACACTGCACTCATACACACACACTGCACTCATACACACACACTGCACTCACACTATACACACACACTGCACTCATACACACACTGCATTCATACACACACTGCGCACTCATACACACACACTGCACTCATATACACACTGCATTTATACACACACACTCATACACACACTGCGCACTCATACACACACTGTAAATAAATATTCAATTAATATAATTTTTTTAGGATCTAATTTTATTTAGAAATTTACCAGATGCTGCTGCATTTCCCACCCTAGTCTTATACTCGAGTCAATAAGTTTTCCCAGTTTTTTGGGGTAAAATTAGGGGCCTCGGCTTATATTCGGGTCGGCTTATACTCGAGTATATATGGTAATAAAGTTTTATTAATGTTGGATCATAAAATATATTACAATGCAATGAAAAATAATTGCTGATAAAATTGTGTTTGTGAAAAAACAGGGGGAAATGTGCTTTTAAGGACATTGTGAATACACTTGGAGAAATGTAGAATATAGATTCAGTTTATAGACCTGTGTTACTGAAATAAAGTGTAAATCACAACTACACCAGACAGTGACATTCTTCCAGACTTTCTGGTATTGGGTCGCTAGTAGACCCAGAAACTATCTGGTTTATACATTTGATAGTTTTTATTAGCACAATGTATGGATTAAATAGTGGGACATTCCTGGAAAAAGGCCGCTTCCCTAAATCAATATATTAGTGTTCCATGTCCATTTTAAACATTTTGATTATTTTATTGTCCCTGCATGTGCTCGGGGAAAGGAAGTGCATGTAAGCTTCATTTTAACACATCTTCCATTATTTTATTTTTTTTGTACTGCTTACAATCTTATAGCTATTTCTGTAGAACCAATTTACTTTTTCTTTTAATGATTTGATTTTAACATTTGATGGTACACAGTCTCTGTACAAAAGGTTCTACAACACATGAATAACATACATATTTAATGACATTGCTAATGTCAACCTCAGCTGCTGGAGGATTAATTTGCTGGTAATCCTTAATCCTGGTTTATGTCTAAAGCAGGTGCTTATTAAAATCTGTTTTGAGCACTGAGAGTCCTATCCGAGGCCTCCCATTAGAGGTGAGGCATAGTAATATTTATGTAAATATTAAAATGAGTGTAGTATATATGCATACATAATGATGGCAGGTACCTGTAATTCTGAAATGTAAAAATAATATAAAGAAAACAAAACACTAAGCAGACTGAAAGGACCTCAAGTGCCCAACAGAGCCAGGCAGGTTTTAAACCATGCATAAATGGCTTGACAGCTTCCATTTCTATTTACTTATTCATTTTTTGTAGCGTCTTCCCTTGTAGAACGTTAGAATTTTACCATTGTAAATCCAATCAGTAGACCGTCATAAATTAACATAGACCACCATTTCTCAGTTACAAACTAGCTAATCAAGTTGGTGGGATTAATAAAATACCAACATAATCAGTTATAGGAGCAGGATTTAGTAAGTGCCACAAGTTTTCAGTAAGAAGGGCTTATATTCTAGACGCAAAAGTGGAGTGATAAGTACATTCCAAAAACTAAAGCATAAAACGAATCAGAGGCAGTTGTTTATCAACTGTAGAACCTTTGGCAGCTGATGTGTTTTAAATCTCGTAACATTCCTTCCCATCTTTATTGTATCCATCGTACAAATCTATCCTGCTCTTTCCTGACCTTTCTTATTCTGCTTCGTAGCGTTACTTGTAACTAGATTACCGTAGTTCCCTGAAGTAGTTTAGATGTCCAATTCTGCCACTGGATCAGAAGTTAAAGCTGTGTTAAAACTTTTTGCTTTTCTCAATTCAGAAAATTAAAAATTTCTTGCAAAAGATGTATTTATGGGTGGCCTAGGAATACTGTAGCTCAAATGTTCAAAACTGAAAACTGTTGATTAATTTTCCAACAGTTTCATAGAGATATCTTTTTCTCTCTCCCTCTTTCTCTCTCTCTCTCTGTCCGGCAGGCCTAGATGCCTTGTGTGAATCTAACTCTGTGTTTTGCATGACGAGTGTCAACCATCTAGAGCTTTAACCTCTGTCTCCAGTACTGAGCACTGTGCCCTAAACACTCCTTTTAGGAAACTTCTTCAAGCTATCATGCACTTCCCTGTAAATTGATCATTTCGTCCGCGCTGATACTCTTCCACCTGACTTTTTTTCTTTCCTTTTTTTTTCTTGTTTTTTTTGTTTGTTTTTTTAAGTAGTGTACATCAGTGGCTTTGCCAATCTGTAATCTAGCTATAAAGAAATGTAATCTGTTCATTAAACTGTGTGTACATTCTATTAAGTCACTAAACGCATAGGAGAGAACTTATAAGCTAGTTGCTCTCTGCGGAAGGTCAATAAGATCTGAAGGTCCATAATGGCATGATCAGGACCTCTGCACAGAAATTATTCACTGTAGAGTCAAGGCATGTGCTTAAAACATCCATGGAGAGACCCTTTATTTGGATACCATCAATATGGATTTATGGATCTCTGCAATTAATTTTAATTGGCACAAGAGCGAATACAGTCTTAGTGTGACCCTTTTTTGGCAGTTGTGCTTCTTACTAATCTTTAAGTGTTTGGTGATATGTGTAAAATGTCTTTCTAACTTCTAATAAACTATCTCCAACTGACCAATGACTGTGTCTCGTTTCTGCTTGTTGGACTTTAATGCTTGCGTGTCCATTCATTGATACTCTAGAGCAGCGATTCCCACATTTTTATTCGTTATAAAGTTCTCAAGTGGTATGATCTTTGGGCCAGTTAAAACACATGATTTAATTTTAAATAATCATTTTTTGGTTAACAAATTTCCTAAATGGGAGCACAGCTCTAGTGTAGACGACCATATTCATCTTTCTAACAAGTCTTTCTCTTTCAAAGTTTAGAGAAAATGTTACCGTAGCATGGTTGGACAACACCACCTTCCAGCTTTTACCACTTTACAGCATGTCGTCAGGATGATGCAGTTTGTGGGTCAACACCTGGATTACTGCACATCCAGTCCAAGTATTTGGGGTCTAGCAAGGTGTTGTCACAGAATACAAATGTTTTATAGATGAGAAAACACATAATCAAATAAAACTAAAACCCGTCTGTGTGTCTGGTTTCCCCAAATAAAGTTTAGCAACTGCAGCCCTTTCCAGAGGGAAGTTACAAGTTAGGCGGTGCAGTGTTGTCCCTCCATGTAGAATAGTAGTTTCATGGCAAACTATAAATTTTTAGTCTTCCAGGTTATTTTATAATCCCACAAGCGCAATGTTTGTGTTGGTGAATTACACAGGAGTGGGCAGCCACTACCAGGTTTTTCACAAAGCGTGAATTTCCCCATTTTTGGCAACTCTAGCTGAGTTGGAAACCTTCTATGAGTCATTTAGACTATTTTGGTCAAAAGTTTAAATTCCTTTTGAATTCTTGACTATTTTCACTTTAATAAATAACCTAAACCCTGTAAGCTTCAATTACTAAAATCTAAATTATCAGGGATTACAATAATAATTCAAAGTGAATAGCAAATTTTAGACCAAAGTAACCCAAACCCATAATGGACTTAGAGAATTTTTCAATTTCAGCTATTTTGGTCTTAAAGGGTTACTCCAAGGATCTTGATTTAAAGTGGTCATGGTGCCTGGAATCTGTATGTGCAGTGTTTTACTTTGAAATGCTGCACATACGGGGTGTTAACCATTCTGCGGCCGGAGGAGAAACTTCACCTCTATCAGCGTCACTGGGTCATCATCATCCAGCCTAGAACAAGAGTTCCGGGCTTGGTATTGTCAATTCTGAGCATATTTTTATGCACAGAAGCTCATTCGTTGGATGTTAGTGGTCAGCTGATGCACTCAACCAATGAATGAGAGTCTGAAACTGCATCCGGGTTCTGCAGCTCTTCAGAAGCCATATATATCGTAAGCCAGCACCACAGGAGACCAGACGGCTGGCAGGGACAAAGCAAAGCTTTACAGTTACCAGGGAATGGAGCCAGAGTACTCCTGTCATCATAACCACTTCAGTTGGTCATGGTGGTTATGATCCTTGGAGTAAACTTTCAAATTGTAAATGAATTCCAGGCAATTAACAATTTAGTAATTAAAACAAACAAAATCCTGTAAGAGTCTTGGACCTTGAAATTAAAGTGAATTATTGTCTGGGAGTAAAGGGTTATGTTAACTGTACAATGGTCTACATTGAAATCCGCTTCTCATCAGCGCTAACTGCAACATGGAAGGTAAAGCATTTAATTTTACCTAATATTACAAATGTATGTTTCATTTCACCTTTACATGAGCCTTTTCTCATGTGGAAGTCCCTGCCCATGGGTCTAATATTTAAAACAGGGTTACCCAAATGGTAGATTCCCGGTTGTTATGAACTTTCATCTTCCGTGATGCTTCTAGAGCATCATGGGATTTGTAGTTCTGCAACAGCTTGGGAAACTACCTTTTGAGCACCCCTGATTTTAAAGAGATATTAGGATGCAACGGTGTTAAAAATTCTCTGTCCTCTCTGCCTTAGAATGTATAAACAACGAAACACTCTTAAAGTAGTAAGTTGTGTTTATCATGTTCACTTGTCTCGCACGGTATATGGATGTGGTACATTTTTTTAAACTAATCCTCCAGCCAGTTTATCCACAAGATGAAAACAAACTAAAATCTAAAAAAAATGGTTTTCAATATTGGATAAAATACTGTAGAATACAGCCATTTTTTTTTCTTCTTCCCCATCAAAGCCTGGTTACAAAAATCAATTGGGCCCTTTTTTTAACAGTGTGAAATTTTAGACTTGTATAATAAAAACTGACTTTTCATGCCTGTTAACCTTTTATTTTTAGGATGGCACTGGATCTTTAAAGAGGAGTGGTTCCTTTAGCAAGCTCCGCGCTTCAATTAGGCGCAGCAGCGAGAAACTGGTTAGGAAGTTGAAAGGAGGAAGTTCACGAGATGGTGAACCAAAGAATCCTGGGTAATTATCCATTGCTGGCTGGCTTTCAGTGCCCCTGCCAAAATGTAGCTTTGCACTGTGATGTAAGGAGATGATGTCTTAATGAAATGTGGATAAAGTATTCAGGGTCTAAGGGCATTCTATCATTAATTCACAAGATCATTTCTTGCTCTTTTTACTATACTGTGTGAGACAGATGTTCCTTGCTTTAATCTATGTGGGGGAAAAAAATGTGCAGAGCAGGCTCTCTTCAACCTCTGTATACCATCTAATTAGCAGAAATTGTTCACATTACGTCTTCCATTCTAAATAAAGCTCCCCCCCCCCCCTTTTTTTTTTTTTGCCTGTTTTTATTATCACATAATTATAGATCAGAGTGGTTGCATTTACCATTCCTTTGTGATTTCAGCACCATCACTGAGTCCATCTGTTGGTGGGTTAAAGTTTCTCCGTTACCTGGATGAACGAAATAATCTATTGTGAAATTTAATTGCTTTTTGTTGTTTGTGTTTTTTGTTTTTTTTGTTTTTTTTTAAATCTGCCTTTTTATTTGAGCATATAATATAGTGGTTCTTAAGCATTCTGCCTAGATCAAGCTGTCTAATACAACAACAAAAAGTGAATAGACATGAAATTATCTACTTATTCCAAAAGTTTAAAATTAGAATTTGGGTCCGTTATGCTTCTGTATGGTCAAATTCAGCTGCACACAACCCCAAAAACATTTATTTATTCATTTATTTTTTTAAATCTGAAAGGCCTCCTGGCACCATTTAGAACCACTCGTTTAACCTATTGTTGCAAGAATCGATGCACAGATTCCTTAAACGATTTACCTAATAAGTTTGTTCTTCCTGGGGGATTCATTTTTCCCTTTGCTTATACGTATAATTTCCTGCACCACTGTATATTGTCTTTTTGCTCCTGCAAGGGAATGATGTCCTCAATTTGAAATGGCCTAGGCTCAGTTGAGCTTTAGATATTAATTATATTGTTGTGAGTTCCAAAAATGCTCTTTTGTAGGCGACACTTAGACTTTTGCTAAATCATGGGTATATGCCATAGAGGTGATTGAATATCAGAATATCACAGAGAGATAATCACTGGGGATGGAGCTGGTGATTGGCACATTAAAGATCAGTGAACCATTTTCATGGATAATGTTTAAAAATTCCTAAAATTTTGTGTTTCAGCTGGTTTCCTTTTCTGCACATATACTATATATATAGTATAATTCTTATATGTAAAGTTTACCTTTTAGTACACCCTGTCTTTTACTATTGCTTTAAATTGCACAGATACCGCAAGGATATTGCCCTCAAGCCATTGCAGCAGCCATTTTGGTTTTTTGGCGTGTTGCTAATTTGTTATATGATGCTGCTGTTGCGATTAGCACGAGAACCAACCTGTACCTCTGATAAGCCAACCTTTTTTTTTTAAAACTTTTGTCGTTCTCAGTAAATATTGTACAGCTGAGGAAAAATGTGGGAAGAATTGCACAAATACTTGATGAAATTGTTAATAAATGAACTAAGGTTAAACTAGCATTCATTGCTTTTATATTTTTAAAAGTTTTTTTATTTTTTATTTCCTAATGCCAAGTGGTAACTGCGTGTGCCAAATGGTAACGCCACAGAATGTCTATTGTCAATGCTTATTCTAATGATTGTATTACGTTTGTGCTGTTTAACGTGCTAATTTTTGCTAACCTTCCTTTGTGTGCCTGCTTTATGTCCACAGGCCTGCTCTCTGCTTGGTCCTGATACTAATGCAGACTGTCATCTGCAAGTCCTTTTTTCCCCTATTACTGCTTCTCAGTCCTGTTCATAACACGTTTGCAAATAATTTCAGCGTGTTTTTGTTATGTGACGCAAACTCTTTCCAGTTTAAGAATTTACTTGGATTATTACATTTAAATAAAAGACACATTATCCTGGTACTTCCATTAAATAATTTCCAAAGCAGGAAAGAACAGTTTGATACCAGGAGAATTGCCAGCAATTTAGAACGTCTTAGGTATATCTATATATAGTCCCAAGTAAAAAGGGTGGAGGAGGTGCCCCTAAATTTGAATAGGTCAACCAGAAAGGGGGGGGGGGGGATTGTTAACCCCCAAACAGACCATGCTGCCTGTCATGATTAGGGAATAATAATGCACATTAGGTGAAGACCAACATTCTGCTTGCTTTTCAAGTAATGTGTTGCAAAGAAAAGTCAACAGTGTTCTAAATATTTACTTTTTAATTTATATAAAATTTCTTACAATTGCTTTCAGTTCAGCTAGAGACAATGTGCAGTTAAAGGGTTACACCAACCCTTATTAATATGTTTAACCTATTGGGTATTATTCTGTAGGTTCCCCCACACCCCGAATCGATTAAAAATAGTTTTGAAAGAAGTTCTACTTGCCTTTATCCAACGCTGGTGTTCTGTCACATTCCGCTTCCTATCAGAATGTGTTTCCCTCACAGCACGGTAATCATCGGAACTCCTTCTTGGTGTCTGAAAAGGCTGCTCAACAAGGTTCTGCAAGGTAAGTAATGTTACTGTCACATATAGTTAGGGGCTCCACTGCAGCACTTGGGACATTTAGGGTTAGGAAGTAAATATTATTTAGCCTCTCTTAATATATAATAATTGTAAATGTATTCATTTATTTTTCTTAGGTGTCCGTAACCTGTAAATAAAAATTGACTCCCTAACTCTAACCCTAATTTTAACCAACTCCTTAACCTTAATGTCCCAGTGTTGCACTGAAGTCCCCAATACTAAGCTAAGAGTGACAGTAACTTTACTCACCTTGCAGGACCTCGCCGAGCAGCATTTTTAGACCAAGGGATTCTGAGGGTAGAGGAGTTCCAATGATTGCCAAGCTGTGAGGAGAAACACATTCTGATAGGACACTGAATGTGACAGAGCGTAGCTCCTGGTGCTTTTTTCAACGCTCACATCTTACATAATCTGCAGCAGCGAGCGAAAGAGAAGCCTTTCATAGGCCTACTTAGCTGGTTCAGAGTGCATGCGCATCATCTGTTCCGGGGAGGGGATAAAAAAAAAAAAAACACGGCGATAAGGAGGTGGGAGGGGACACACAAGACCCCCCATGCAGGCTCTGCAAGAATCACATTGTTTGTCGCCAGCGTGCAGTGCGTGCTGACAAAAGATGTATTTTATACAAAGAATTGACATTGGCATCCCAGAACTGAGTTTTTGGCTGCCAATGCTACGTGTGCTATGGGTGCAACTTGCCTCTGGATGTGCAGGGTTTCAGTTTGAAATCCTACACATTCAGAGTCTTGCCACTATGACCACTTCAAAGAAGTGGTCATGGTGGTTAGAGTAACACTGCAATGAGACTCTTTGTTTGTACTATATAATGCAGTATCCCCCGGTTATTATCATTGCCACTACATTTCATATTTGGAACATCTAAGGAGGAGCCCTGTTCTCCGAACATCGAGTCAGTGAGTGGTCAACAGGCTTGGAATACCTCAGCCAAAAACCAGGTGTGACGGTGTGCAGCTGTTCTGGCTGAAGTTATTTAAGTTGGTTGTCTGCTCACTGAGTACACCCCAGCCTGAGCGGAATTTACTAAAGCAGTGAGAAGGGGACAGCGATTTGTTTTAGTGGATGCTTCTTCTATAACGGTCAGATGGCCGTTAATGGAGACCTCCTGTCCCATAGCAACAGTGGATTTAGGTATCAAAGTGCGACCCTTAGAGAGATTATATTACTTTACTATGCAATATCTAGATAATTCTGAAAGTTTGTAACATTGTGACCATTAACCAGTTTCAGAATGCTGATTTATGATAACCAATATACAAAAACAACCTATAATAATGTAAAGGTTCTTATTGGAAATCAGGGCTGCCGCCTTTTCCTTCTTTTTTCCTTCTCTGTGATGAAGTGGAGACATTAACCCTTTGTAGCTGTGCGTTCAGACCTACCGTGATTCTCATTGGTTTGTCCTTGCATGTTCACTGTCTCGGAATGCAGCATGAAGCGCGCCAGCTCTCTGAATGTACTTAACACGGGTGGCAAGGCTACTGAAGATCTCGTGCAAGTAAGAAGCACTACTATATACTTACACCATCCATTAGTAGTACTGTGCATGGGGCAGTGATATACATGGATAGAGAATGTAGGGGTAAGGGCTGGGATATTTCAATCAATCTAGAACCCATGTAGAGGGCAGTCCTTTAATTAAATCACTGGCTTCCTCTGCCATGAAGGGGAATACATCAAAGATAATGTTCCCATTTGCAGTATGTATTTACTAAAAGATTTCAATCTGTTAATCCTGCTTTACTGAACACTGTCTTGTGCCCTCGTACTAACCCAATCACAAACTAACAACATTTAATCCACCGTCTAACGATACTGAATAAATCCTTATCAGTGATAACAGATTTTTTTATCACCTTTTTTACTAGTTTTTAGATGTGCCTAAAGCTCACAAAACAGTCAAACAGTAATGTTTTGATCCTTAAAATATTTAAAACTATTTGCCCACCCAATATGCAGTAAAATGCTCGTTGTAGACCTGCTCTACAGTAGTTAGGATTCTTTATGACGATCATAAATGGTAACCATGACAACAGTTCTATTTTATGCACTGTGGGAAAGCCATTGTAGTAAATGTAGGCTGGGATGTCAGTGATAGTGTTTGCAGGGGTTTATATAATTTTAGAGAAGTCAGTTGGAAAAGCAGTAATTCTCTATAAGGCAGCCATAGTTCCCTACAATGAAAGTTAAAACGTGCACTTCTATAAAATATTCTAACAATGCTTCTCATATTTGTTCAAAGTGGACAATTTGTTTAGCTAATCCAATATTAAAGTATATTAAATGTGTATACAACATACACCTCTGAGTATATGGAACAGCAGTTTTTCTTCTTGATGCCTTTTTCCTGATATTCAGATTTAATAGAATTTAAAGTATACTTCATTTATTTCCCCCCTCAGTTGTCTTTAGATATTTTATTATAAAATTACAATTTATTCTCAAGTTAATGAAACATATCCAGCATTAGGACAGGGTATAATTGTAATGTTTCTTTCACTAAATAAGTTTTCCCCCACTTTTATTTCCCCATTCTAGAAAGTTGGCATGTTTTGGGACCAGGCTCTGTAAATGTAGGTCTAGCATAAGCAAAGAGAATGTTGTATAGTATAGACTCATGTGACCGAAGCAATTTGTAAATTATGTAAATGCACTCCCACTTTAAAAAAGTAGTAATTGTTTTTCAAATTTTTTTTTCTTCTACACAGGAGCGAAATAATTGTCTGACAGACTTGAGAAGTCTCAGTGCCAGTCACACTGACTTGGCACATTAAGATTCACACGGAGACGCTAGCTAAATTTCCTTTGAATGACGACGCACTGAGACAGCCCTAACCTGTGCTTCCTCCCCTACCTGCATATGGAGGTTATGCCTGTTTGATAATGGACTGCCCTTTTTACTTTTCTAAAGGAAAGAGAACTAGACTTTTTTTTTTAAAAATTAGTGTAATTAGAGTTTTATTTCTTTTTAAAAGGAATATTTTATTTATAGGTGTGTGTATATAAATTGCTTATTGCACTGTGGTCTGTAGAAATCTATAATATATACCGTACCCAATAATTGGTAACTGTTACAACAGCCAAACACTAGGTAGAAAACACATAACCTCCAATTTCTCTTCATCTCAATGATATCCATCATGTGCAACTAGTGACCCTGTCACTCAGTGAGCTGATTTGTAAAGCAACAATGAAGAAAATATAAAAAAAAAAAGTAGTTTTCTAGAAAATGTGTTGGGTTTTTATTTTGGGTAAAGGGGAATTGTAATTTCTCTGGATTTGTATTTCCTTATCCTCGAAATTTAATAAATATGTTTTGTAAGGCGTGCAACTAAATGTAGAGTTCCACACCTCTATCCTACAACTGGAGGCTGCCATCTTAGCTCCCTGTCCTGTCAATCATTGTTATAAACTATGTCCTTTTCACCTGGCAGTCAGCATAGATAGCATACAGAGAACAGGAGAAATTAAACAATATTACTATTTTCATCTATTCTCAACCTTCGTGGTGTGTGTGCCCTGCTTGGCCTGAATTGGGTGGGATGCTGTTTTCTAAATCTCTAAATCTAAAAGTACTTTATTTAAAATGTGGAGCATCCCATGGGAGGAAATAAAGGTTACCATTACTTACTGATGAGTTGAATGCTATTCAATGGTGTAAATTACAGAGAAGTGACAGGTCTCCTTTAACTCTTGTGAGAGCTTAAAGTCTCTATTATTCCATCATTTTATAATATTTGTTTTTACGGATTCAGCCTATTCACATATCAGTGATTGAGTCCCTCACTTGTAGTACATAACTTGATTGCTATTATTGAATGAAAACATGTCCTCCTGCAGACATCTAGACCTAGATATTAAAGCTCACAGTAAACCAGATTAACTCGTATTAACATGCGTGTGCAAAGTTTTCTAGGTTGTACCCCTTTCTACATTATGGTTAGGATAGACAATTTCTAAACCAGGCACAGTAAAATGCAGAGGAACAATACATTTTAGTTTTCTTTCCTGATTGTAAAAGTTATTCGACTGAGCCAATCCCCAAAATGAAATGTTTGTAAGCCAATAACAGTCTAGTACGCTCATTTTCATATGTTTTGTACGATAACCAGTAATTGTGATGGGTAGAGTCTGACCCTAATGTTGTTGGCTCAAATGTGTTTGTGGTTTAATGATAGTCATGAAATAGATTATTTTCTTATTCCTATTCAGTAATAGGGTTAGAAAAAAATCCCTTTATGTAAAAGGGTTTGAACAGGGCGTTCAGGTAACTACTTCAGTACCCATTAATGTACAATTATTAATTTATCTTCTGTAATTCAGATATCTTTCTGTAACAAGGTTTGTATCTCTCCACAGATTTTACTAAAATGCCCACTACCCTTAGCCAGCATTATAACAATTCAGATATTTGTCGCTGCACGTATTTGAGATTAGTTTTTATGCGGAACGGTTTATACAAAGTTTCAGAATATTTTTGCTTTCGTACTGTAGCGATGAATGTGCTAAATAATATCCTAATGAATGCTGCTAATACATTTTTTTTTTTTTTTAAATAAACAGAGTTAGGAGATTGTAGCTTGATAAGAGTTCCTCTAAAATATTTCGAGGAGGGGGAGATTATTCCCAGAAAGGCATCTGTACCACCTGTGAGCTGTATACAAAAGCGAAGATATAGTTGCGATATTTTTAAATGGTTACTTCTCAGATATTCAGTGGCTTTGGAATAGTGTACATTGAGGTAAGAGCATTACCTGCCATTGTAAATTTAATGTTTAAACCAGTGGCTCTTTACCTCTGGGGTGGGATCCAAAATCAGATCGTTGTTCTGTGTCAGTGGTTCCCCACTAGCTGGAATAACCACATCATATTATTTGGGCGCTTGTTCAGTGCAATGAGCTCTTCTTTTAAGATGCTTTGTCACTTCAGTGGTCCTTGCATATATTACAAAGACCCCTATTGTTTACATTGCTGCGTGAAGTGGGATAGCCGAGGGACGCAGTAGAGTTGAGATATATTTACCAGGTGTTGTTGCCGCTATCTTTCTTTAGCTTCATCGGTCACGCTTGCAGAGTGGCACGGACGTCTGTACAGAATCTTACTATGGGAGCCTACATAGCTATTACCTCGCAATTCGAGAGACAATGTGTTTGTTCGTTCCTAAAGAGAGACAGTCATCACCAGTGACAGCTGAGGGAATTGTCAAAACCTGATGGCAGTAGCTCTGCCTTTTGTTAAATGGAGGGAAATACATAATATAAAGTAGTCAATACTTTCTCATGATATATTTTACCATTAAATTGGTTGCATATTTATGATTTTTATTAAAGATTCTATCGTAATGAAACGCTCAATTTGGGGGAAAGCGGGTGAATGACAGCTGCTTTAAGACGGGAAGTAACTAATAAGGGTATTTTGCAGAATTCTTTAAAACGTATTTAAAAGTGAAGATTGGATTACTATTGAATAAATTACAAAGCGAAAACAGGTGACAATGCTTTGTTAGATCATCTGTGTAGAACATCAGTCCATTCATGCCTACAACATCTGTCTGATGAAGAACTCTGCAAGGGCAGGCTAAGGATTTTGAGCATTATAGTTTACGGCTGGAGAGATATCGAATCGTCCTCACACTTGAGGTTTTAAGATCCAGTTGTGTTCTACATACTTTTGATCAGCACATGAGTACAATGTCACGCATAATGTAGAATCTGTTCTGCTGGGAGGAAATTAGTAATCAAGGACTTATCACAAAATAAATCTTGAGGAGTTCATTTAGTTACTTCCTTTAATTTGACTACTATATATATATGACATGGCAGCAGTCTTGTGTTTTCAGCATGTACATGTGTGTCCAAGAAAATGTGGTGAATATGGAATCCTAACCGCTCTAGGGTGTAAGTAAATTCTAAATCATGCAAATTTCATAAAAATAGTAAAATGTTAGATCCACAAAATCCAGATAGGCCATGTGTAATTAAGAGGAATGCAGACTGCTCCATGCAAGCTTTATGTGATTATTGGTGTTGGTGATTCATGATCACACACGAGGGTGTTGCAGTTACATTTTATATGCTATGTAATGTTTGTACAGATTCATACAGGAACTATTCATAGATCAGGAACAATTTGGCTGTATGTTAGTGAACATGCAATGACCCAAATGTAACTTATCAAACACATTGTACCACCCTGTGAAATATGTTGGTTCTTTACAAATAATCAAATGCATGGGTTGGTTTTATCAGTTTGAAATGTGCTTGGCCCTACTGTATTGTACACGTGGATTTTGCTTTTACTAAAACGCATTGATCTCTCTTTCTATAATTGAAATATAGATCCAGATTAGATTTCAGTGAAATATGCACGGATCCTCCGTTTACCAACAACACCCTGCCCCTTCAGAGGGTCAGCACATTGTACACCCAACATGCATTGAAAGGGTTGTATTTAGAGATGGATTATTTCCACATGGTAAAGTTGTATGTATATTACTGTGCATTTTTGTTCTACATATTAGTTTGGCTGGCTTATAATTTTTGATCCTGACTGTTACAGATGGAATGGTTTAACTCGGACTGAAAAAGTCTCTGTAAATAGATCTTTGTAGTACCTGGGGTACTAAATGAATGTGTAATTTTTGTATTTTAATGTGGTGTGTAACATCAGTTCTTTTTAAATGCCAGGGTAATGCACTATAATGATATTAATATCTAATAAAGTTCCACTAGATTGCATGTGATTTTTTTTTTTTTTTTTTCCCACATTTCTTCATATAAATTAAATTTATGTATCACCGCTGTATGTATACCATGGCAGCAAAGGCCATCTGAGGATAAAGGAATACCTTTTAGACTATCACGAAAAATAATAAATGAGCATGGCTTTCACCATCAATGGTGAAAGTCATGCTCTGTTTTCTGCATGTTGTAATACGAAGTGGTCTGATTTGGTCTGCTACAATTACTTGTTTTAAAAAAAAAATTTTTTAAAAATTCCCTTTTCCACCAATCCTGAAAAAGTACATTTAAACTGAAAAGGACAATCACCCACTGCAGCACTCACATGGTGTCTTTGTCTATTAGTGGCTGAAAGTGGAACTGCTGTCTGACATCTTTACATCAGCGTTTAAAATCTTTGGAAATAAACAATACAAACATATATTAAAGGAAATAAACTCAAACTCTAACTTTCATGATAGAAAGCAACCCAAAAAGTTTAAAATTAATCAAAGAAAATATGCCATAAAACTTCGTTTGTTAATAATGCTAAAATAAATCCAGAAAAAGTGCAACGAATTGTTTGCACCAAAAATGTCTTAGAAAACGTTTCAGCGAAAAATAAATTTCTTAATTGGATTCTATGTAGCGCAAATTTCTACCAAGCGTGTGAGGTGAGTATCCTAGCTATGCAGTAACATGTAACGAAGGTTAGATACAGTTAGGACATATCCCTTTAGTGCCTTCATGGGCACCCCTAAAGCAAAAAGTCCGCTATCGTGCCTTCATGGACACCCCTTAAAAAATTCTAACCCCCCTTCCTAACTGCTGTAACTGGATAACTAAATCATGCAAAATAAGAAAAAGGGGAAAAAAAAGAGTATAGCACAAGTACATTAATAAATGGGAGGTGATTGTCAAAAATGTCAATTGAAAGGCTGCAGCATCATCCCCAGATCAAAGCCACCCTCATATATAACAGTCCTGACATGTTGTTATAACTAATAAAGGTTTTATGGTATATTTTCTTTGATTAATCTTCGACATTTTGGGTTTTTTTCTATCATGAAGTTATATTTCCTCCACTTTTCCTTTCATAAATGTTGGTATTGTTTATTTTCATTATCTATAGGGGTACTCCCCCTGGCTTTAATAGCAATGTGACACTCTCCCTACACTAAACTTTATTACAGCTATTCCCAGTCACTGGGAAGCAGATCCATCCCTTTTTATTTAGGACTTTATTGGGGGGCCTATATAATGTAAGAAATTGGGTTAAAACAAGCATCATGAGACTGTTTACAGCTGTTTGGAAACAAAACTAAACTCACTTAAACCTCTTTATGAATTGTCGAACTGTAGTCAATAAATGAAAACTACATTTAATAATCCTGTAGCTCCTTTTAGTCAAAAAAGTGGACTTGCCACAGGAGGGGGTGGGTCTTTGAGGTTTGTAGAAGTCTCCTCATGTTGAAATATCTACCTCCTTGGTGCTGTCTGGTGCAAAAGAGGGAAGGCATTATTGCCAAAATTCAAAAGTTAAAAATATTTACACTACAAAATGAAAAGCCTGGCATGAAGCATTTTTTTTATTTGTACACAGTGTTTGTTTCAATAAAGAAACCTAGATCAAAAGTACAATGAAAGCAAAGTGAATCCTACTTTACCAGAAACGTTTTGTGAAAGACAGATATACAACGTCAGGACCAGGTGTGCATAGAGAATAGTAAGATGTGTTCTTGGCATTAAAGCAAAAGTTATATTTGGACAGTATACCCCATATACAGAGGTATGTGATCTTGCAATCATCAATATTTGAACAGGTAACACACTCCAATGTCATAACGTGGCAGAGCACGCTGTAGGGTGTTAAAGCTCTGAGGAAGATTAAATGCCCAAAAAAGGAAAGACATGGTAAAGATAATAAGGAAAGTGCACAAGGAGAAAATCAGATGAAATGCTAAGCACAGACAAAACAATGAATTGGAGGGTTAAGTGCACTATTTTGTTTCTTCATTGTTAGTCAGATGTTTGCCAAATTAATTCTGATCACTGAGATAATGGCTGGTCAATTCCTTTGACACCGTCCACATCTACTGTATAGTAACATGATGACTGAGGAATGTGCGGAGCAAAAACTATTTCCATGGTTCGCAAGATACATCCAGGAAATTCTTGGGGTGCTGCATATGGAGTGCGTGTTACGATCATTCTCATCAGAAGCTGGTTTGACCACGAGATGCCCAGAGCTGGAGCCCCTTTTCTGTCCTTTAAACTTAATGAAAAAAAAAAAAAGCTTTTTTTTTTTTTAATAGACTCAACCGTTAAAACACTCAAAGCACCATAACCACTACAACTTACAGACGTCACTCTACTGTAGTCAATTTTTTTTTTTTTTAACATTTATTTATATAATGGTATGGCTTCCTACCCAACTCCACTACTAATACCGGTGAGCTTTAAGTTCCTAACCAGAAATTTGTCTTGGCTCTGCTGAGAGCATCTGCGGATTGTTGTATAACCTTTAGTCCTTCAGTAAAAGAGCTTAACTCAGGCGAGCTGAATAAAAATTTATGGTTGGGATCTCCGGTGCCAGTAGTGGAAGCGGGCAGAAGTACCTGGTTACCCCACATTAAAAAAAAGGAACCAAAACCACTGCAGCGAGCTGCATACAACTTGTAGGAGCCAGTATCCAGGCTGTTTGAAAGTCATCCTTACAAAAATAGGCCAAAGACAATTAAAAACCGGGAAGTACATCAGGAGCGGTTGCTCAATAAAACCTGCAGATTTGAAGACAAGGGCACACAGAGGAGTTCCATTTTTAAAAACAAGTCATATTAATAAAAACACAACCCAGGATAACCAACTCAAATATAACCAACCTATACTTTTCAATCATTGCTCAAAGATCTGCCATGCATGCGTGTGCCGACTTAACGTACTTTGTTCTTAGAGAGACTGCAAAGTGTATATAAACATATTCTGAACTATCTTTGGACGAGAACAGCAATATATCTAATTGCATATTTACTAGTCTTTTGCGTAGCTAGTCTAGCTTGAATTACTAAGTAGGTGCAAAAGCATTCTCTAATAAAAACATGACAATCCTTTTAAAAAGCACAGTCTTACATAGTTTGTCTGTAGAAGGTCTCCTTTAATGATTTAATTTTTTTTGCATTGTAATTATGGTGCAATATTTCCCCAGTTAGCATCAAATGGCTTGAACTATATTAGAAAACCAGGTCTCTCTCAGCACTTAAAACCTATCATGTCTAATGCAGAAATTATTTTCCTGATTAGATTTACAACTTTGGACAGCAATGATATTCTGTGAGAGTTCTCACGGTCATCGAGAGTTGGACAACTAATGAATTAGTTTTCTTTTATTAGTTAAGCAGTCGCAGCGTGTTTTAGATGACAAGGCCATTATTTCAAGCTTGTTTCTGTCTTGCTTCATATGACTGCTAAAATGGATCTCCGGCCATGGCCATTTTCGAAGCTTTAAGAGTTTGTCCCCTGCCCAGAGTAAGTGGTAAGTAAACTAGATTACATACTGCCGGCAAAATGCATGGATAAAATGTGCTCTACAAAACTTATTTTAGCATGAAAACTTCATTAAAGGTTTTTTGCAGATAACAGCTTGGCATTTGAAAGCAACAGCCGCAGTGTAAGGAAATCTCAGAATAGCTTACCCCAGATTGTCCTGGACGGAGTCCCCAACTGTATCTGTAATCTGGAGGGAAATTAAAACAAAAGACAAGACCATTTTGTGAGAGGGTTTTAATAAGCATGGGAATGCTATTTAATGTATGAAAATCCTACAGCCAAGTATGCACTACATTTCAGCTTGCCATTAGTGAGTGAAAGTTGAGCCCTGGCAAGTAGAAATTCACTCTATGTAACATAGATACTCCAGGCTTGCAGTGACAAGTAACGTTTAAGGTTTGGCTAATTGTGTAGGACTTTGAATCTTTTTTAAAACTGGTGGACTTGTTTTCCTGAGAATACAGATTAAATTGATGTAATAAATAGGGCATAAAATGTAAAGATTCTGCACACTGTTCCAATTCAGCTGAATGTTATTCAAACATCCAGCAGGTGGATTTAGTAATTCTCAAAAACATATAGTATCTACCGACTTTGAATTTTTGTGCGGTTAGCCTACACACACCATGACTTACGGTAAGTAAAAAGTGACACGGAAGGAGAGATTCTTGTAGATTTAGATAATTTTGAAAGGCAAGGACATTGGGGAAAGTACATCATAGAGTGCCTATTCACACAACTATTTTTTTCTGTGACAAATAGCAACTACTGTCAGGGAGTATTAGTAAAAGACTAAATACCTGATTAATGCAGAGTACAGGAGTTAGAAATCTGCTGCTTAATTCATGCAGTTTGGCTCCCAGCGTTTGAACATGTTTTGCTTTCAGGACCGCATCCTTGGCCGCAAATTCACAGCGAAATAACGCAGCAATGGAATCTATTACGATTAAGCGGACTGCCCCGCGAAGGAGCAGAATGGGAACCTTTTTGGTGATGCAATCAGTAAGCATCTCCTATAAAAAAAACAAACAAACAAAAAAAAAAAAAAACACATATATAAACCTATATAATTATAATATAAAAAAAATGCTTAAAGAATCACTATAGGTTCACAAAAACAAACATGTATTCCTCACCCTATAGTGCTAAACCCACCATACAGGTGGCTCCCCCCCCACCCTCAACCTCCCTATAAAAGTTTAAAACTCATCTTATTTCCAGTTCCGTGCCGGTGTGTCGGCACTGGCTCCACCCACTTTGTGACATCATAAAAACTAATTTCTAGCCAATCCAATGCTTTCGGCTAAAATCGGCACGGGGTGGGGCCAAACAGGACCTCAAGCGTTGGTCAAATTCAGCGTCTACTGTTCAGCCCTGAGCTAGGAAGCCCCTCCAGTGGCCATCTAAGGAGTGGCCACTTGGAGTTGTCCCTAGGGGCAATGTAAACACTGCCTTTTCTCTGGTGCCTGAAAGGAGCTATTATACTCACCAGAACAACTACATTAAGCTGTAGTTCTGGTGACTATAGTCTCTCTAACACGCTGTATACAAGTTGATACTTTGTTTCACTTATCTGTTTATAGCAACCTGTGAGGTTCATGCAAATAATAGGTAGCGCTAGATCTTACAATGGATTATAGCTATCTATTCCTATCCAACGAGCTGGATTAGTTAATGCAATTCATGGGCTGCACAACATTTTGTGATTTATTTGAGTAGCCTCCTGCATCCGATACACCCATTCAGGTTCATATGATCCACCAATCTTCTCCTTTATGAGAGTATATGTGGCATGTCGCTGTGTATATGTTGTACTTATGTTTGTTTTAATATATAATAATTTATATATTACCACAGACCCATAGGGACTTTCTTGTGTCCTGTGGGCCTCAGGTCCATAGGCTACTCCATTTCATAAGTCTACAATTCTAGGGTTACCCTTTGTTTGTCCCTTTCAACACACTCTAGATCACATTTCTGGGACCTAGTCTTTTCCTTCTCTCTATAGTGTCCCTTTAATCAAATTTTCAATCTTCATATCACCCGTTAACGTAGACAATTGAGTACGAAGAAGTAATTAAAGTTATAAGGAAGCGTCACACACTGGCTTGAAATGCTCTCGTCCCAGGAGGTAACCAGTCATATGGGAAATATATGAAGACTGCATTTGAACATCCCACGACTGTCTTACAGTGGCTCTCCAATTATAGTTGGGCTACATGTCCCATAATTCACTGTCTGGACCCCAAAGATTGGACAGCCCTGGTCTAAGCCTTGCTAAAACACAGATTATGTTAAAACTTATGATTAAGTATAGAGCTGCCACAATACCATCACCCCCCAACAGAAAATGTCATATTTGTAAATTGTTAGACCAATAGGAACATACGAAATTACGAATTAGTGTGCTTTTTAAGCATTCGGAGTTAAATGTATCAAAATTATTTACGGTTTCTTAAAGATTTTGAAACCGCATGAAATACACAGATAAATGAACACTTTACTTGGAAAATTATAAGCAACAGGAACTACAAAGCTCGCAAAATACAAATCAAAGGGTTCAACTATCTCTTCATACAACAATGCAGAACAATTGTCAAATAAAGCTTCTATCCAACACATGCAAGTGTAGTTTTAGTTAACATATTTGATATTCTGAAGAAGGATGACATACAATGTCAGCAGCATGTTCGATAAAAATACCATCTCCGAATTGGATTTTCTTGATTATATCAGGGGGTACACTGGACCTCAGCTTTTGCTGACATTTAATCAGCTGGTGCAGTCGCTTACTTGGAAAGGCATCTTCTGTGCAAATGTAAACAGCACCTAGAGAATGCAAGCAGAATATACTTAGCGAGTATCTCCAAGGACTGTAAAGGATTGACATAAAATGAATACTCAAACTTACCTGCCCCTAGCCCCCCATACTCCGCAGGGTACTGAACAGACAGGCACAGTTGTAAAGCAATTTGAGTTTTACCAGCTGAACTCTCGCCAGCAATCTCTGTGATGCCAACCAAAGGAATCCCACCCCTTAATAGGTTGTCCAGAATTTTACATCCAAGGCTAAGCTTCTGGTGCTGGGATGGGAACGGAGTCTTTTCACTGAACATCTGAAAAGCTGAATAACATTAAAACAATAAGCAGAAAGTATTTTTAAAATGGTTAATAAACAGTGTATTTTAAATGTCCAGTCGGCAAGACAGGACTATTCCCACAGATAAGTTATTTAAAGTAATAAAAACATTTATATTAAAATACGGATATGTCACACTTTTGCTTTCAAAAAAAAATAAAAAGTACAATAATGATGTATGATATAAATGATGGATAATAGTAATTGCTGAAATATGTCTTCTGGTACCCAGTTATAGTAACAATTTGTTAGAGTTTAAAAATGTATAAAAAGCAGGATAATTTAGAACAAATTGGTTACTTTTCACTAATAGCATTAAAGTTTCCTCTAAATGACAATCTAGAATCACAGACTATATTTCAGTGTTCATGTTGGAATGCGACCTTCAAAAAAAAAAAAAAAAAAAGTGGCACTTTGTTATTTGCAGAAAAATAAGAAGCAAGTAGAGTTTTGTTATTTACTTCTTTACTGGTTAAAGCTGAATTCCTAGCTCTAAAAACCACTCCGGTTAACTCTGCAGATACTAAAATAACTATGTAAGTTAAGTTAAAGGGACACCATAGTCACCAGAACAACTACAGCTTATTGAATTTGTTCTGGTTAGTAGAATCATTACCTTCAGGTTTTTTGCTGTAAACACTGGCTTTGTTTACATTACAGCCTAGTGCTTTTTCTGAGGCAAACCGCATGCAGATCTACAGCTTCAGGCTTGAATACAGTAAGATTTTGCTATATTTATGGAGGCATGAGGGGCTCAGGGTGGCTAGATGGTGGTTTTAACATTACAGGGTCAGGAATACAGGTTTGTGTTCCTGACCCTATAGTGATCCTTTAAAGTGCTAGTGATGCCTAAAAACCCTTCAATTATTTAAATGTGCATAGGGATTTGGGATAGTGCAGGTAACACTTTTGGTTTTTATTGTATGTATTGGGGCTGATGAGTACTATGGTCATTGCTGTTGACCATAAGTAGTGATCCTTTAACATTTGCACTTTAGTGAAAGGAACACTATAGAGAAAGGACGTTGTATTCCTAGCACTTTAGTGTCTTTGTGCCCCGCATACCAAAGGGTTCAAAACCTTTTAAACACTCACCTTAAAAGGACCACTCTAGGCACCCAGACCACTTCAGCTTAATGAAGTGGTCTGGGTGCCAGGTCCAGATAGGGTTAACCCATTTTTTCATAAACATAGCAGTTTCAGAGAAACTGCTATGTTTATGAATGGGTTAAGCCTTCCCCTATTTCCTCTAGTGGCTGTCTCATTGACAGCCACTAGAGGCGCTTGCGTACTTCTCACTGTGATTTTCACGGTGAGAACGCATAGCGTCCATAAAACATTATGAATGCTTTCCTACCAACTGAATCTTGTAGCGCGGCTGTTTGCAGCATGGCATTCAACCAGCGGGGAGGGGAGAAGAGGAGGATAGGAGGAGGAGGCTCTCCGCCCGGCGGCTGGAAAAAGGTAAGTTTAACCCCTTTTCCCCTTTCCAGAGCCGGGCGGGAGGGGGACCCTGAGGGTGGGGGCACCCTCAGGGCACTATAGTGCCAGGAAAACGAGTATGTTTTCCTGGCACTATAGTGGTCCTTTAAACCAGCGTTGAGGTCCCTCGGTGCTGAGTGTATGTTCGCCTCCTCCAACATCATCACAAGGCGGAACCTAATGCGTGTTAGGCCTTCCCCATAGAAAAGCATTGAATTTATGATTTCCTATGGAGATTTAAAAGATGCTGGACATCCTCATGCAAATTGTAAGGACGTCCAGTGTCGTTTCACGGGGTCAAACTCTGTGAAAAGCCAGGAAGCACCTCTAGAGGCTGTGTTCACCCTGCATTGAAAAAAATTGTTGTTTCTCTGAAACTGTAATGTTTCCAGCTGCAGGGTTAAGGGGACAGGGATACTGCACAAGCACCACTTCAATGAGATGGTCTGGGTGGCTGTAGTGTCCCTTTAAATACAATGTACTTCCACAATTTGAGGAAACTATTTGTATTTTACATGAAATAGGAAGCTTACTATAAAAGTGCAAATAATAAAGATTTACCAGTGACCATTTCATTTTTCCGCAGAGCATTGGCTACAGTCTTCTGTAAGAGACGGACATCAGCAACGGAAAGTTTTGTCAACTTTTGTAGCTCTGGGACAGAAAACGTAAGAACATTTTGGGCAGATTTTAGATTACCTAAGAAAAGAAATGTGAATTATTAAAAAAAAAAAGGCCATCTATTACACCACAAACCATGCTAAACCTGTTTTATTGTCTGTTTTATTTTAACAATGTGGATTTCAGCTGGAAACAATATTTTAGAGGGGCTCAAAGTTAATTTAATAAATGATTTGTAGACTTTTAAGATCTTTGTTATACGTACATCTGTATACAGCAGTGGATTCTCCACTTATCACTCACAGATGCATTGCTATCCATATTAATGGGTTATAATCTACATGGTGTACGCTCTTACTTGTCAAAACAAAATTTCATATTGGAAAAATATATTACGCAGGGATTTTCAAATTTTAGGCCATTATAACCAAACTGCAATAACATCTGTGCGAAAGTTATTTACTATTTGGGTTATTTTAGTTGAAATATTGCAAATCCTCTGAAAGTTGTGGCGGATTTGATGAGTTGCAGGATTTAGTCTTCCCATGGAACAGGTGTTCTATCAAAAAACCCTACCCAGTGAAAATTCTCTACACCTGTCACTTTCGGTGACACAGCCGCACTGGAAGCGAGCCGAATCAACGGTATGTGGGCTTCAACTTATATTAACTCCACTTAGCCTATCCAGGGCCAGCTCGTAGTCTTAGAGTGACAGCTGAGTTCATTCAGCCAATTAATTTTGCCCTGCACCGCTGGGTTAGATCAGTACAAGAGCTGCTAACTGGAGATAAGGCAAAGTGGTGGTAGTCCAGTGGACACCAGGAATGTGGTGAAATTGTTCTCAAATGGTCTGTCTACTTATACTGGGAGGGGGCACCAGGGAACGCTTAGCACCATAACCGCTACACAGGGCTGTAGCGGTTATGGTGCGTTAAGAGTTCCTTTAAGGTTGTGAAGTGCATAGAAATCAGACTCTAGTATCAAGTGTAATAAAATACAATTTAGAAAAAGTCAACTCTATTAATCGCCACCGCTAACAAACAAAAGATGTCATATTGCTTTTTGGTAACATTTTCTGAAAAAGAAAAAAAAAAGTATTATAGCAAGTTGTCAAATATAAAAGCTCATCAGCTGTTTGATGACTTTAACGGTTACATGTTAACCGTTAGAAAGAAAAGCATGGGCACTTCTGTCACAGAGAAACTGGTAAATATCTTACACAACCTTTAGTAACCGCTGCAGAGATCCGAGGGCTTAAATCCAACTGATCCCAGTCCATGTCTTCAGAGCACCCAATTCATTCTGGGCTAAAAAAACAAAAACAAGATCCAATTATTGAGGGTCACATGAAGTATATCTAATTACGCGTTATTAATATTGATGTCCTTGTGCTATAATACTGTCCAAATTACAAACTAAGTTTCAAAGTCATTGTTTTATTCTGTTTTTCCCGGTTTATCATCGAAGACTAAGGACACGCCAAGTGAGCAGGGCGGACACGGGAACATCCGGGCTCCCCTAAAACACACACGGGCGAAAAATGGGAAATTTAAAATTACATTTCAAATTCTAACTCGAAACGCAAAACACAATCTGTGTTTATTAATTCCCACTGTACAGCGCTACAGAATCTGATGGCGCTATATAAATAATAAAAATTAACTAAACTTGGAATTAGAGCAAATTGAGACCCACATTGTGAGATTTAGGATAACACAGGCAGGCTGGGGGGCTTGGAGATTTTATTTCTAACCCACACCATGTGTTATTGCCATTCATGTTACTGTAGCTGTGACTGGGGGGTCCTGCCTGGATAAATACTAACCATGTCCTGGAGCTGGATAATGAAGGCAGGGATAGGGAGCAGCATGTTAATGGAGGCACTGTCCCTTTAAATGGTCAAACCGGAACTGGACTGCCAGTTCTCAGTCCCCGCCTGTGCGTTGCTATAGTAACGCTCCATGTAGCGCCTGGTCACATCACCCGCTGTCAATATGCAGCCACTTCCGCCTACACCCCGCGCTCTCATTGGCTGAGGAAAATGACAACAAATACCACGTGTTCAGCGGGCGCCGCATTCTATTGGTCGCCGGGAGTTTGGCTCCAGCGCGGTGATTGGCGGGCGGATTTAACTCCCCGCGCGCCGTGCGGTGCGGCGTCGGAAGGGTCTCGTGGGCACCCTGCCCTCTGATTGGTCAGACCGTCCTGTCACTCAGCAGCCAGGCGCTCCGCCCCCTCCTCGTTGGCTGTCTCGAGCGCCCCTCTCCGCCACGCCCCTTTCCACGCTCGCTGATTGGGCGGCTCTGTGTGTGGGCGTGGCCCCGGCGAGGCGGGTGTCAAGATGTCCACCGAGTGCGACGTGAAGAAGCTGGTCCGCTCCCCCAGCGGGCTCCGCATGCTGCCCGAGAACCGCGCCTTCACCAGCCCCTTCTGTCTGGAGGAACCGCACTGGGTCCCGGATAGGGAGGTAACTGTGTGTCCGGGCACTGAGGGGTTAACGGTAACTGTGTGTGTCCGGGCACCGAGGGGTTAACGGTAACTGTGTGTCCGGGCACTGAGGGGTTAACGGTAACTGTGTGTCCGGGCACTGAGGGGTTAACGGTAACTGTGTGTGTCCGGGCACTGAGGGGTTAACGGTAACTGTGTGTGTGTCCGGGCACTGAGGGGTTAACGGTAACTGTGTGTCCGGCACTGAGGGGTTAACGGTAACTGTGTGTCCGGGCACCGAGGGGTTAACGGTAACTGTGTGTGTCCGGGCACTGAGGGGTTAACGGTAACTGTGTGTGTCTGGGCACCGAGGGGTTAACGGTAACTGTGTGTCCGGCCACTGAGGGGTTAACGGTAACTGTGTGTGTGTCCGGCCACTGAGGGGTTAACGGTAACTGTGTGTGTGTCCGGCCACTGTGGGGTTAACGGTAACTGTGTGTGTGTCCGGCCACTGAGGGGTTAACGGTAACTGTGTGTGTG